TCCCCGCCGCCGCCGCCCCGGGCTTGTGCGCCTCCTGCTCCGAGTCGTCGTCCGTGCTGCTGCCCAGGCCCCGCGCCTCCCGCCGCTTCTTCCGCTTGCGGTTGACGGCCGAGATGAAGGAGATCGCCAGCATCTCCCGGGTGTACGGCTCCTTCTTGGGGGCCCACGAGCCCTGCGCGGGAGGAAGGGTAAGGAGGGCGAGGGTGAGGGGCGGCGCAGACTCGGAGTGCTTAGGCCTCAGGGGCTCAAAACCAGCCTGCACCCCTGAGAGCCCGCACTCCGGGCTCCTCCTCCACCTAGGGCCGGCTGGAGCACCACCCCGGTGATCGCTGCCCCTAGGAGGCCTGGCAGTCCCTGTGGCCCCGAGTCTACTCTCCCCCAGCCCCCTCTGGGCCCCGAATCCAGCCCTGGCAATCCTTTCACACAGGGCTCCAGCCCATTCTGCAGACTCTCACCAGGTCGTAGTGACCAGTGCTTCCGGCACACTAGTCCCCCAGGGTGCCCAAGACCCCTTCTCTGACCACAACTCCTACCCCGTCCCCTTTTACTCCCTAAGCCGGGAATCCTGCCTTTTCATCTGCAAGGTAGGTACAGCCTCTCCACGGCCTCCAGTTACTCCCTCCTTTTCCCACAGCACCAACCTCCACCCCAGACCAATCCAGGCGCCAGCATGGAGTCCTCTTCCCTCCGATGGTGGCTGTGCTCACAGCTAAACCCTGTGGCCTGAGTGAGCTCAGGGGCCTGCAGACCTAGTGCATTTGTTAACAGGGTCTTTGAACACAGGCCTTTCCAGAGCAAAAGTGCAGTATTTTCCTCTGCCTTTTGAGAATCCTGAGACCCAAAGTGACACAGGGATTTTTTCTTCCCAGTTTATGTGACTAATGCAAGCAAGTATTCTCATGTCGCCAGGTATTTTGCCTCTAGGTTAGGGTCATGAGGTTACTTCTAGAGTGACTAGGGACATCTAGCTGGGAGCTCAGCTTGGAGGGGGACCTGGAGTTGGTTACTGCTTAACACCCACCCTCTGGGTACAGTGGAGCTGGTCACTGGCCCATGCTCCTCTCAGGAACAGTCAGACCATCCTGGCAGAAAGGCGGCATTGCAGTGTGATTGTAACTTGGGCTGTGATAGGCTTTGTTCAAATAGAATCCTCCCTGGAGACTCAGCTATGTGAAAGAAAAGTGTGCCCCCACCGCTTCCCGTCTGCTGCATGGGCCTCCATGCAGCTAGTGGTGATGATGACTCTAGAAGCTCCAGGAAACAGAGAACTCTGACAACTGTTCACTGACTTGACAGGCCAGCAGCGGTGTGAGCTCCCAGCACCTGGTCATCACCCTTGGAAGCCAAGTAGGAGGGCCAGGGCCTGGTGCCTAAGGCGGCCCTATCTTTATGGTGAGCTCTTCTTGCTAGGTTCTGACACCTGGCATCCCCAGTGGATCAGACTACCCAGACCACCCACTATCTGTGAGTCTAGTCTCCGTCCTCCTGGCAGATGTTCCTCTTTATTACACTGGCAGCCTGGTCCTTGCCTCATTATCTCTATCTCAGGGGCTTGCCTGCTAGTTTAGGCTTATGTTAAGGACAAATCCAATCAATCACTGCATCAGAAAAGCAAGAAACACCCAGAGCTGGGCTGGGAATGTGGCTCAGTGGTAGAGGGCTTGCCTAGTATGCATGAAGCCCTGGGTTCTATTCCTCAATATCACATAAAACAGAAAAGGTGGGAAGTGGCGCTGTGGCTCAAGTGGTAGATTGCTAGCCTTGAGCAAAAGCAGCTCAGGGAGAGGGCCCAGGCTCTTGAGTTCGAACCTCAGGACTGGGAAAAGAAAAGAAAAGAGAAAGAAGGAAAAGAAAGAAGGAAAGAAAGGAAGGAAGGAAGGAAATACCCAGAGCTTGAAAGCAGAGGGTCAGACCTGACCCCAGAGCATTCACAGTGGAAAGAAGCCATCTGACCTGCCTCTGCCTATGCCCAGAATTCTAATTACCTAAACTATCTGAGCCTTGGTTTTCTCATTTGTAAACTAGAGATAGTAAAAACAAAGATAAAAAACAAACAAAAAACCCCTCAAGGGTTTTCTGTAGGGACAGCATGGAATGGGTATTGGTGAGTTCTCCGCACAGCCGCGGGCGCCTGGCCCATGCTTGGCCAGCATGAGGCGGTCTCTCTTCCTGTTTCACTCCAGTAATTCTAAGCTAGGGTCACAGTGAAGTCTGAGTGGGCTTACAGCAAAGCTGCACTTTCTGAGACACATGCTCTGTGCACGTTCAAGGCTCTGAGGCTGAGCAGAAGCCTCCCGAAGAGCCCTCAGGCTTAATGCAGGAGCCAGGCAGGCCCAGAATCTGCTGGTCAGGGAAACAGCAGCCTGTGAACTGCGTGGAAGTCAGTGCCGTGTCCACTGTGGGTAAGGGTCACAGTGGACAAAGGAGGAGCCAGGCCATCAGGGTAGGATAGGACTGCTGGGCAAAGAGCCGGCTCCCAGTCACTGTGGACTGCGGCCACAGTCATTTCTGAGGCCTCCCTTTACCCCCAAATCCTTAACACTTCATGGCTCCTTTAGGGATTCATCTGCTTCCCTGAGGCCCATTTCAGACTTCCTTTACTGCCTAGCCTGCCTGCTCTCCTTCACTGAGCTGAGGCTCTCACTTCCTTCACAGAGGAAAGAGCTACCAGTGCCACCTGCCTCCTGTCTCTCTCGTTACTGCTCTGGGGAAGCGTCTTCTGCTGCAGGGTTTGGGTCCCAGCTCTTCTCCATCCACATGACTTGACTGTTCTTGAGCAGCCAGGCTTCTGCACATGCTCTTTTCCCTCCCTTGCTGAGGAACAAGCGCTTCTGCCTCCGCCCATGGATATGGTCCTTCTCTGCTCATTAGTTTAATGTCTGTCTTCCACTTGAGAAGACTAGCCTTGGGAGGCCAGGAACCTATCCGCTTTGCTTGTTATGCTTTCAGAACCCAGCACAGTGCTGACATGTTACAGATGTTCGGTAAGTATCCGTGGTCTGACTAAATAAATAAACCTACCCTCCGGAGACATTGTCAGACTAGGGTGTCAGGGTAGCGCTGATTTTACAGAATGAGTTGAAAAATGCTTTTCTATTTCCTAGGAGAGATTGTACAGAACTAGTATTGTCTTAATGCATCCATGCCGTGTATCACTTAGCAATGTGGGTGCATTCCAGGAAGTACGTGGTCAGGTGACTTTGTGGTTGTGTGACTATAGGGTGTACTCATAAACCTGACAGTACAGCTTAGTACATACCCAGGCTCTATGGGGTCTCAGACGTATATGCTCCATTATGGACCAAAATGTTATTAGGTTGTGCACAACTATTTTACCTCCGTAAAGCAGATACGCATGTGTGTGGAACGGGCTCTCTGGGTGTGAGTGGGGCTCCCTGCGGCTGGCAGCCTGGGGATAGTGCTGCTCTTTTTTTTTTCTGGTCATGGGGCCTGGCCTGGGCGCTGTCCCTCAGCTCTTCAGCTCAAGGCTAGCGCTCTACCACTAGAGCTTCTGGATTTTTTTTTTTTTCTGCTTATGTGGTACTGAGGAATCAAACCCAGAGCCTCATGCATACAAGGCAAACACTCTACCACTGAGCCACCTTCCCAGCCCCTGCACAACTATTTTAAAACAATACTATTTCATAATTACAATATTTTAAAATTAAATAAATCAATTATTGAAAATAAAAATCTGGATATTTGGTAACATACAATCTTAGCACCGAGGAGGCTTAGGGCAAGAAATGTAAGTGTGAGGCTGGCCTCAAACATAGTGCTACATAGAAAGTTCCAGGCAACCCCGAAACCCTGTCTCAAAAATGTGTGTGGCCAGGTGCCTATGTATAATCCTAGCTACTCAGGATAGATCTGAGGATCATGGTTTGAAGCCAGCTTGGGCAGGAAAGTTCATGAGACTCATCTCCAATAAACTACCAAAAAGAGCCACAAGGGGAGCTGTGCTTCAAGTGGTAGAGTGCTAGCCTTGAACAAAAGCTCAGGGACAGTGCCCAGGCCCTGAGTTCAAGCCCCAGGACCAGCAAAACAGTGTTGTGTGTGTTCCTAAAATATTTTGTAGAATTCACCAGTGAAATCATCTAGGCCTTGAGTTTTCTTTGTTAGAAGGTTTTAAATTACAAACTCAATTAATTTCTATATATAGAATGATTCAGGTCATTCCCCCCAAACCTCCCCCCCCGGTCCCACCCCCCCCTCAGACCTGGGGCCTGAACTCTGGGCCTAGGCACTGTCCCTGCGCTTTTGCTCAAGGCTAGCATTCTACCACTTGAGCCACTTCCAGCTTTTTCTGTTTATGTGGTGCTGAGGAATCGAACCCAGGGCCTCATGCATGACAGGCAAGCACTCTACCACTAAGCCACATTCCCAGCCCAGGTTATCCTTTCTTAAGGTGAGTTTTGATGATTTGAGTCTTTCAAAGTATTGATCCAATTCTTCTAAAGTACTGCGTTTATAGGCATAAAGTTGCTAATAGTATTCTCTGGTTATACTTTTAGTGTCTGTGTGGTCTGCTGTGATGTCCCATGTCATCTCCCTACTTCTGGCAATTTATACCATCTCTTTTTATAGTCAGTCTGGCTAGAGGCAGACTAATTTTATTTATTTTTTCAAAGAACCAGCTTTTTGTTTCATTGACTTTTTAACTGCTTCTAACTTCACTGATTTCTGATCTCATCTTTATTGGCCCTTCCTTTTGCTTGCTTTAGGCTCCCCAAAGAATACTTATCATATGAGACATCCTGATTTATCCCCATTTTACAGATGAAGAAGCTGAGTATCAGAAAGAGGTTAAATAACATGTTCAGTGTCCCCAGACTACTGAGTGGCAGAGTCAGGACTCAAACTCAGACTGTCTGACTCCAGAGCCTGTGCTTCTAACCCCCTGAGCCACACTGTCTCTTGGCCACTGAACTCCCCCTTTTACTAGACCAGATATCTTACCAAACACTGCCTAAGGTGAGCTACTTCTCAGCTCATTTTGGATACTAAGGATTTCCTAGGGACCCTAACTTTCCTCATGGTCTAACAATCACCCTCCCAATTCTCTTGACTGAAAACCAAGGTGGGCTGGTGTGGATAGGGAGAAGGCCTTTAGAACTGCTTAGTTGCTTACCTTGGACTTGGCTGAACTACAGGTGGTGGAATCTGTTGATAAAAAGAAAGAAAATGAAGTTGGATCAGGGCAAGAGAGGACTGAGTCTTAGGAACAGAACTCGCTTGCCTCAAAGGCTTTAGAAACCAGGGCATTCTCCCTAGGCCCTAGGAGTGTGATGGCATTTTCTACAAGCCAAAAATGATGTCAGTCACTGCTTCCTTTTCAGGCAGGAAGTGACATCATGCCGGGGGCCTCTGGGCCGCCATCTGTCCAGGGTTAAGAAAAAGGAGAGCTTTTCTTTGGGCCTGGTTCCTTCCCCTACCCCTTCTGTCCCAGCGCCTCTAAAGCACTGGAGAGAAAATGCCAAATATCAGATGCAGTCCACCAAAACCACAACAGTGCAACACAGCAAATCACAGATGCTCTGGAGAAATGGAGACCACACAGTGCATGGAGAGGTGGGGCTTATCCCCCCAACCAACCAGGCCATGAGACCACATGAATGGGGTCAGACAGAAGCAGTAATGAAGTGGGTGGGGGGGACCTAGGGGTTACAGTGGGCTGCTGATTGGAGGGAGGTTAACCCCTGTTACAGCCAATCACAAAAGAGGACAAAGCCTCCTGTCTGTGAGCCCAGGGTCCCACGTATGTCATAGCATTCATTAAGTGGAGAAGGAACCAGAAACAGGTCCCCGCCAAGGCTGGAGAGGGGCGGGCTGATTTCACGGCCTCCTGGGGTCGTGGGCAGGTGGGGTTAATACACTCTCACTGGGGCAGGCAGGTTAGAGGTCCCCCCAGCCCCTCCCCCAGCACACGGTGAGAACAGCAAGATGGGCTGACCACACACACTGGACGGCCGCAGCAGGTGATTAGAAGAGACAGAGGGCTCCTTCCTGACCCCCCCACCCCCAAACGCTGTCTTACAAGGAGGGCTGAGCTCTGCCTGGGACAGAACTGAGGGGCCACTGTGTGGGGGGAGGAGGAGGCAGTGGCTGGAGCCAAGAAGGGCGAGGCCATTCTTTTGCCTCTGAGGACAGAGGGTCAGAGGCCTCTGAAACAGGAGCCTAAGAGCCCAGTGACCAGGGGCCGGAGCTGAAAGGCTGCTGGGGGCAGCTTCAACGCGCTCCCTGCAGAGGCTGGCCCGGGGCCAACCTTCCCGAGCCCTAGCAAGTCAGAAGTGACCAGCTTCCCACAGAGAGAAGGCTCACTCGGGGGCTGGGAAGGGCAGCCACGGGTTGGCCAGGCTTCAGCTCCAGCAGGAGCTTCCTTCCCCCTGAGAGGGCTGGGGATGGGAGAGGAGAGGTGGGAGAGAGCGTCTGCTGGTGTGTCTGTGTCGGGGCGGGGTTCTCTGCCCGGAACCTTCCTGCCTGGCTCTCAGGCCTGCCCAGCCTTCTTATAATCACCGGCTACTGTTAGTGACCGAGGCCGCAACACTGCACAGTACCCTTTAAATCTCCAACAGGTCCGCTGGAGGAGGGAGGCGGGAGAAGAAGAGGAGGGTGGGGAGGAGGGGATGGGGAGGGAGAGCAGGGGAGAAGAGGAGGGAGGGCGGGGTGCAAGGAGAAAAGGAAGAAGAATTAAAAAGAGGAACTCCCATAGAAGGACACTGCCAGCCCGGGAGAAATGAGACCAAGGAAAGAGACCAGATGGGAGGAGGCTGCGCGGAGCCCTGCCCACCTGGGGGCGGGGCTCAGCAGACCCGAGGCTGGATTTCCCCAGACAGGGAGGGGCCCCGACAGCCCCAAGCGGGGAGAGGCCACAGCCAGGCTGAGATTGTGACAGGGAAGCTAGACTTCTGGACAGGCACCTGGGACCCTCAGGAAGGCAGAGCCCACCCCCCTCTGCCCCCCGCCCCCAGGTTCCTGCACTCACCTGAGCCTGGGTCGCCAGGGGGCCCTGTCCTGCCAATGTTGGGCAGCAGGTACTCGATGTTGGGCACTGACTGTGGCTCCTTGTCATCCACAGGGGTCTGCAAACAGGAGGAGGGGTCAGCCAGAGGCTCCCAGAGGCTCCCCCTTGGACATCTCAGAACAGGGTGTCCTGACAATAGGGCCCATGTCTCCTCATTAGATTGGGGCTCACTAGGGCTCGTGTGGCAGGCAGGGGCCAAGGGCAGGGCCTACATGTCCTCCACAGGTCTGTTCTGTGCCTTCCATTCGGGACAGGATCCCAAAGGCTCCCTCAGCTGAGGAGGAACAGACATGTCTCCCCCATCAGACTAGCGCTCCCCACAGCCTTCCCTCCCATAAGGGTGGAGGGCAGTGCGGCCTGGGCTAGTGGACTGGGTCTCCTGGGAACCAGGCCCCAAACTCCCCCGTCAGACTGGGGGTTTGTGAAGACAAGGCTGTGTCTCCTCCATCAGATGAGATGGCCAGGGCTGGGACCTTGCCAGGCTTCCGTCTTGCTGCCCACTCTGTCCCCAGGATGGGGGCCCAACTCAGGACGGACACACACACACATACACACACACACACACACACGTGTGCACGCATGCGTGCGCACCCCCCCATCACTTACTCGTTCTCCCTTGTCCTCATCATCGCTGAAGAACCAGTCTGACTGCAGAGGAGACAAAAGGAAGGGGTGAAATCAGCATGGAGAGGGCTCAGGGCTCAACCTCATGGCTGAGGACCCACAGGCACCGCCTCGGAGCCCAGGAAGGAGGGCGCAGAGGTGAGGGGAGCCCAGCTCTATGGACTAGAGAAACACAGGGGCAAGTGGGTCCCAGTGTGGGAGGAAAACAGACACCCCCCCCCCCAGTGCAAGGAGGCCAATTATCAACCCGTGTCAGGCTTGGGGAGGTCCCGCGGGGGCACCTCACGCAGATGACAGCCTGAAGGCTGGGGGCAGCAGTGCCCTCTAGTGCTAGCCATGTGTACTTGCAGAAAAGGCAAGACATTACATGGTCGTTGTGTTCTCTCAATCTCTCTCTTCTCTCTCTCTCTCTCTCTCTCTCTCACACACACACTGACACATTAAGGATCAAAGTATCATATTCTTTACCCAGAAAAAGGTGTTAGGATGTTCTTTCAGTGGTGGACGAGCAAGAGCTTTTTCACAAATTCCAACCAAACAAGACAAATAAAAACGAAACACTTAGATATATTTAACTTAAGAGATTAAGAATCTTGAAGAAGTCTTTCTCAATATTTGCTGAGGAAAAAGAAAATCAGGGCCAGGTGGGGTGGTGCATACCTGAATACTATTTTCTGGGAGGCTAAGGGAGGAGGAGCTACAGTTGGAGGCTAACCTGGGCCACACAGTGAGCTTTACAGCACTATGGACTACCTGCAAGCCTGCAAGACCCTGCCACAAACCAACACCAAACCCGTCCAAATTAAAACAGATTGCTTACAAGTAATCAATGATCACATGTTCTTAGAACTTTTAGCCACACCAGACATGGGAAGATAAGAAAGAAATAGAAACTCTGGACTTACTTTTCTTTCTTTGTTAGACATGACTTGAACTCAGGGTCTGGGCATTGTCCCTGAGCTTTTTTTTTTTTTCCCCCTCAATGCTAGTGCTCTACTACTTTGCGCCATAGCACCACTTCCAGTTTTCTGGTGGCTAATTGGAGATAAGAGTCTCAAGGACTTTCCTGCCTGGGCTGGCTTAGAGCCGAGATCCTCAGATCTCAGCTCCTGAGTAGCTTGGATTACATGCATGAGCCACCAGTACCCAGCTGGACTTAAGACTTTTGTATAATGTTGGATTGATAAGACTTTGAGAACTCTTGGAGATGGTCTAAGATGCATTTGCATTATGAAATGGACTTGAGCTTTTGGAGGCTAGGGGTAGAATGTTATGGTTTGGTTATGAATTATCTTCCACAGGCTTATCTGTTGGAGCTTAAACTCCTAACGTGTTATTTTGGGAAGAATGAGACATTTTAAGAGGCAATACCTAGCTGGAGAAAGTAGGTCACTAGGAGAATGTGTCTTGTCTTTCAGTGAATCTTACAGTCTCTCCTCTTCCTGGTTCACTCTCTACTCCCTGTCTACCTAGAGGTTAAGAAGTTCCTCCACCACAGGCTCCCCCTACCATGATGTTCTGCTGGAGCCCAAGGACAAGCAGTCATGGATTGGGTCCTCTGAAACTGTGAGCCAAAATAAATCCTTTCTCTCCCTCTCCCTTTTTTGTGCCAGTCCAGGGGCTTGCATTCAGAGTTTGAGTGCTGTCTTTGACCTTTTTTTTTGTCAGTTGTGGGGCTTGAACTCAAGCCTGGGCACTGTCCCTGCACTCTTCAGCTCAAGGCTAGTGCCCTACCACTTAAGCCACAGTGCCACTTCTGGTTTTCTGGTGGTTAACTGGAGATAAGAGTCTCATGGACTTTCCTGCCCCGGCTGGCTTGGACCCACAATCCTTAGATCTCAGCCTCTGGAGTAGCTAGGTTACAGGCGTGAGCCACCAGCTCCCAGTACTTGAGCATTTTTGCTTAAGCTAATGCTCTACCACTTAAGCCATAGCTCCATTTCTGGCTTTTTGGTAGTTAATTGGAGATAAGAGTCCATGAGCTTTCCTGCCCAAGCTGGCTTCAAACCATGATCCTCAGATCTCAGCCTCCTGAGTAGCTAGGAGCCTCAGGTGCCTAGCTTGATCCTGCCTCTTATTTTTTGCTCAGTCATGAGGTTTGAACTCAGGGCCTAATCACTGTCCCTGAGCTCTTAGTGGGTGGTGGGGCTTGAACTCAGGCTTGGGTGCTGTCCCTGAGCTCTTTTGCTCAAGGCTAACACTCTACCAACTCTGAGACACAGATCCACTTCTGGTGTTATGGTGGTTAGAGATAAGGGTCTCATAGACTTTCCTGCCTAGGCTGGCTTTGAGCCTCGATCCTCAGATCTTAGCCTCCTGAGTAGCTAGAATTACAGGCCTGAGCCACCAGCACCTGACTGATCCTGCCTCTCTTAAAAAAAAACGAAAAAGTGGAGGAGGCTACAATGCTTGATAAGAAATGTACTCATTATCTTGCCTATGTAATTGTAACCCCTCTGTACAGTATTTTCACAATAAAAAATAAATAAAAATTTAAAAAAAAGAAAAAGTGTGTGTGGTTGGGGGAGGCGGGTGTCTAGAAGAAGCATTTAAACAAAGCAGCGTAGAAACTATGGAAAATCATGAGTCAAAAAGGAATCTTCCATACTGGTACAGGAACAATAGATTAAGAAGTACAATAAATCATAGTATATATGTATTGAACCTCTTAATACATATTAAGCAACAATTCATAGAACTACAGTGAGACCAGAAAAATTAAATATTGTAATGAGCCAAAAAAATTAAAAGTAAAAATGCAGATGTGCTGAACAACAGAATGGACCAGTCTGGCCATGCTTAGAACCCTGCCCCCAGCCATTAGAGAAAGCACACAAAGCAATCAAACAGCAACCAGACTCTGGGATACAGACAATGCTCTCTGCTCATAATTGAAAAAGGAGAGAAATAATAGCAATTTTTTTTTGGTTGGTTGAACTCAAGGCCTAGGCACTGACCCTGAGCCTCTTTGTGGTCAAGGCTAGCACTCTACCACCTGAGCCCCAGCACCACAATTCTGGCTTTTGAGTGGTTAATTTGACTGAAGTCTCACTGACTGCCCAGGCTGGCTTCAAACCAAGATCCTCAGATCTTAGCCCCTTGAGTAGGTAGGATTACAGGTGTGAGCCACCAGTGCCAGCATTCCATGAGACTTTTATCTACAATTAAGCACTCAAGTGGTAGAGCACTAGCCTTGAGCTGAAGAGCTGAGGGACAGTGCCCAGGCCCAGAGTTCAAGCCCCACAACCGGCAAAAAAAAAAAAAAAAGGCCAAGAACTGGAGGATTGTGGTTCATAGTAAGCCTGGACAGAAACATTTTAGAGACTCCATCTTCAAAAAATAACCAGCATAAAGCATGGCTGAAGGCATGGCTCAAGTGGTAGAGCATCACCCTTGACCTTGACAGTGCCCATCCCTGGGTATTAAAAAAAAAAGTCTAAAGGTTTGGCTCAAGTGGTTGAGTGCCAGGAGAGCAAGCAAGTTAGACAACACATAAGGCCCTGGGTTCAAGCTCTAGTATGGATTAAAAAAAAAATTAGCCGGGTGTTGGTGGCTCACGCCTGTAATCCTAGCTACTCAGGCGGCTGAGATCTGAAGATCCCGGTTCAAAGCCAGGCCAGGCAGGAAATTCCATGAGACTCTTATCTCCAATAAACCACTCAGAAAACGAGAAGTGGTGCTGTGGCTCAAGAGATAGAGCCCTCGCCTTGAGCTGAAGAACTGAGGGACAGCGTCCATGTCCAGAGTTCAAGCTCTATGACCAACACCCCCCCCAAAAAAAAATTGCATTCTGTGAAAGATAAATGAATTAAGAGGCTGAAGGATGAAAAGAAAAGCCAAAGACTAAGAAAAATATTGGCCAAGATATGTCTGATAAAGAACTATTGTGCAATATATACAAAGAACTCGTAAAACTCAAAAATAAGAAAACAAAGCTATCTGATTAAATAGGCCAATGACCAGGACACCTCACCCAAGAAACAGATGGTAAATGACCATATAAAAAGATGCTCCACAACATATGTCACCTAACACATGCAAATTAAGACAGGAACCATTACACAGCTATTAGACTTGAGCCAAAGTCCAGAACACTGACAGTCCCAAATGCTGACTAGAATGTGGAGCACCAGGAAGACTTATTCATCACTAGTGGAATGTAAAATGGAGAAGTCTCTTGGGGATACCTGTTTGGTGGTTTCTTATGGAACTAAATAGCTCTTCTCATATTAACCCAAGGAAGACGAAAACTTCAATCCATGCACAAACTTGCGCGTGGATATTTACAGCAGTTTTATTTATAACTGTCCAAACCTGGAAGCAGCCAAGGTGTCTGCTATGGTTTGGACAAGCATTCCCTAAGGCTCAGGCATTAATGGCTCAGCCCCCACATGGTATGTTGGGAGGTAGCAGAATCGTTAGGAGATAGGGCCGCATGGGAGCTCCTTAGGCCACCGGGGGCATGCGCTTGAAGGCGATTGTGGGACCCAGTTTACTCTCTTCCTCTTTGCTTCCTTGCAGCTTCACCACAAGTCAAAAGCAATGGAGTCAGTCATGAACTGGAACCTTTTTGACCATGAAACACAATAAACCTTTTTTCTTGCTAAGTTAATTCTCAGATATACACTAACAAAAAGCTGACAAACACATGTCCTTCAGTAGGTGAATGAATAAGTAAGCCATGATACATCCAGACAATGAGAAATTATTCAGTTTCAAAAATAAATGGGCTGGAGCTGGGTGCTGGTGGCTCACGCCTGTAATCCTAGCTACTCAGGAGGCTGAGATCTGAGGATCACAGTTCAAAGCCAGCCCGGGTAGAAAAGTCCATGAGACTCTTATCTCCAATGAACTACCACAAAAGCCAGAAGTGGAGCTATGACTCAAGTGGAAGAACACTAGCCTTGAGCTGAAGAGCTGAGAGACAGTGCCCAAGCCCGGAGTTCAAGCCCCACAACCGACCCTAAATCAATCAATCAATCAATAAAGGGCTCAGGGTGACATTGTCCAAAAAGAAATGTACTCATTACCTTACTTAGGTAACTGTAACCCCACTGTATATCATCTTTATAATAACAATAAAAAATATACAATGAAAAAAAATGAGCCAGGAAAAGACATGGAAATCACTTTACTGTATATTACTAAATGAATACAACTACAAGACATTCTGGAAAATTCTAAACTCTGGAGACAGTAAAGGGACCTGTGGTTATAGCGTTATGGTAGGGAAGATGACCAGGCAGAGCAAAGAGGAGGTTTTAGGACAGTGAAAATTCTTTTTTTTTTTTAGGTCCGGTCGTGGGGCCTGAACTCTGGGCCTGAGCGCTGTCCCTCAGCTCTTCAGCTCAAGGCTAGCACTCTACCACTTGAGCCACAGCGCCACTTCCGGCTTTTTTCTTTTTGCTTATGTGGTGCTGAGGAATCGAACCCAGGGCCTCGGGCATGCAAGGCAAACGCTCTACCACTGAGCCACCTTCCCAGTCCCTAAAGTTTTTTTTTTTTTTTTTTGTCGGTCGTGGGGCTTGAACTCTGGGCCTGGGCGCTGTCCCTCAGCTCTTCAGCTCAAGGCGAGCGCTCTACCACTTGAGCTACAGCGCCACTTCCGTGAAAATTCTTTGTCTGACACATCATACATCTGTTCAGATTCATGGGAGATACAAGAGTGAACCTTTATGCCAGCTATGAACTTGGGTGATTATGATGTCCAGCTGTCAGGTTTTTATTTTGTTTTATTTTTTCAGCACTGGGGTTTTAAAGTGAGGGCCTTACATTTGCTAAGTAGGCACTTAACAACTTAAGCCATACCTCCAGTCCTTTCTACTTTATTTTTTTAAGTTTTCTTTTCTTTTTGTCAATAGTGGGGTTTGAACTCAGGACCTGGGTGCTATCACTGAGCTCTTCAGCTCAAGACTAGCACTCTACCACTTGAGCCACAGCGCTACTTCTGATTTTCCTGCCCCGCCTGGCTTTGAATCGAGATCCTCAGATCTCAGCCTCTTGAGTAGCTAGGATTATAGGTGTGAGCCACCAGTGCGTCTAGCTCTACTTTATTTTTCAGATAGTGTTTCAGCCCAGGGCTAGCTAGACTGCAATCCTCCTATCTCCAGAGTCACTGGGATTACAGGCCTGTTCAACCACACCCAAAAGATTTTATGTTTTCCAGGGATAGGGCCTTGCTCTTGCTAGGCACACCCCAGCCCTGGGCTATTATGATATGGTCCATGTGAGCTCCCCAATCACAAAGAAGGTAAGAGGTTGACACTACAGGGGGCACACAGGGGCCCTAGGCAGAGGAATCTCTGTACCTTTCTCTTGATTTTGCTATGAATTTAAAAGTCCTCTAGACAAATAAGTTTTAGAAGTAAAAGTGAATTTAAACAGCAATTAGAAGACCTGATAACAAATGAGCTAAGCAATTTACTTATAAAGGGGTAACAGACTCAAACAAAAGGGACGAAATATCCTTAAAAGAAGGGAAAATAACCAGTATATCAATACAGTAGAAAGTCAAAAACAAAGTATCTAAAATGATCAAAAATTAAAACTGAGGGCTGGGAAGGTGGCTTAGTGGTAGAGCACTTGTCTTCCATGCATGAGGCCCTGGGTTCGATTCCTCAGCACCACATAAGCAAAAAGAAAAAAAGCCGGAAGAGGCACTGTGGCTCAAGTGGTAGAGCGCTAGCCTTGAGCTGAAGAGCTGAGGGACAGCGCCCAGGCCCAGAGTTCAGGCCCCAGGACCGGACCCCCCAAAAAAAATAAAATTAAAACTGAGCTGGGCACCCAGTGGTTCATGCCTGAAATCCTAGCTGCTCAGGAGGCTAAGATCTGAGGATCAATGTCTAGCCCCGGCAGGAAAGTTTGTGAGACTTTTATCTCCACTGAACTATCCAAAAAGCCAGAAGCAGTGCCGTGGTTCAAGTGGTAGATGCCTAACCTTAAGAAAGCTCAAAGACAGTGCCCAAGCAGGCCAAGTTCAAGTCCCAGGACTGGACACACACACACACACACACACACACACACAGAGTTAAAACTTTTTGTACTTTGAAAAAAATCAGAAAAAAAAATCTCTGACATATCTGATCAAGATAAAGAGAAGGGCTGGGAATGTGGTTTAGGGGAGTTTGCTTGCCTAGCATGCATGAAACCCTCGGTTCTATTCCTCAATACCACATAAACAGCAAAAGCTGGAAGTGGTGCTGTGGCTCAAGTGGTAGAGTGCTAGCCTCAAGCAAAAGAAGCTCAGGGTCAGTGCCCAGGTCCTGAGTTCAAGCCCCAGGATTAGCAGAGAAAGAGAGCGAGAGAGACAGAGAGAAAGAGAGAGACAGAGACACAGAGAGACAGAGAGAGAAAACAATACAGAAGGGAAAGAAAAAATAAGTATAGCTAGAAAAGATATTTGAAATGTAATAAAGATTTCAAAGGATAGATAATTCAGATAAAATGTAGAACGTTGCCAAAATTGACAAAAGGAAAAGTTAAAAACAAATAGACTACAAACAACTAAATTGATTTAAATAATCACTCAAACTCTCACCCCCAAAGCATTGTAGACCTTGGCATTTTGTAGTTTCAACGTATTGCTCCAATATTTCAAGGAATTTATAATCTCTGTCTTCACGGGTCATTCTAAAGGTGGGTAATGAGGGACTACTAAGGCCAGGCATGGTAGCATTCATCTGTAATCTCAGCTATTCAGGTGGCAGAGGCAGAAGGATTGTGGTCTAAAGCTGGTCCACCTCCTCTGGCCAAGTGCCAATACCATTATTTCTTAGCCCTGAGTGGGCACCTGGGTCTCAGATTTAGATATGGAAATGTGATGATTCATAAAAAACATCCTGAACCTCCAGAAGAGGGCAGAGCTGCCTGTGTAGCTGAAACACAAAGGCCCCCTGCGCCCTCTGCTGGCCAGTTGGTAGGCTGCGGAGTGGAGTCTGGGAGGGAAGCCCAGGACTATGATGAGTGGACAACAGTACTCAGGAGCTGGGCGCCAGTGGCTCACACCTGTAATCCTAGCTACTTAGGAGGCTGAGATCTTAGGTTCGCAGTTCAAAGCCAGCCTGTGCAGGAAAGTCCCCGTGAAACTCCTATCTCCGATTAACCACTCAAAACCAGGAGGTGGCGCTGTGGCTCAAGTGGCGGAGCCCTTCTTGCCTTGAGCACAAAGAGGCTCAGGGACAGTGCCTAGGTGCTAAGTTCAAGCCCCACAACCAACAAAAAAACCAAACAAACAAAAAATAAAAAATGAAGAACAATTAAAAAAAACTAATAGAACTCAGGAGGTGGGGAGAGAGGACTGTGGGTGTCTTCAGGGAACCGGAGTTGAACCAGCCCAAGACATAGGAATGAGAACGGAGGAGCTTGCCCTGGGGCCATGCTCCGTGCTGCTTGCCTATCTTGGTGGCCCTGTCTTCCACCCTCAAACCCAGGAGCCTTCCTGCCTCCCTTCTCTTGAAGCTCAGGGTCCTCCTGGCTCTCCTACCTAGGCCTCAGAACTGATGGACTTCTCCGATCCAGTCCTGTTTTGCCTGGAAATGCAGCCAGCCTGTCACTTCGAAGGCATGGCCACCCCAGCAGCTTCTCCTTACCTGACAGCCTCGCCCAAAGCAGACCCAGCCCAGGCTTGCCCCCCCCCCCCTCTCACACACACACACACAATGGGCACGTACATGCTGGATCAGCGTCTCCACGATCTTGTAGCGGTCAGGCATGTGGGTCACCATATCTGTCATGTTGTCCTCAGATGTCCTCACCAATGTTGGCCCAAAGACCAGGGCCAGGTTCCGTGGCTCCATCTGGACAGGGGGAGCGGGCAGGCCAGGGTCATGCTCTAGCTCTCCCCTCCAGCGCTTCTTCATTCCCCCTCCTTCCACGCCCCTGACCTCATCCTGAGCTGTCCCTAGCTTAGGGAATCGACATCTTGCATGGACAATGGGGGTAGCTTGGCAAACAGAGAACAGGCCAGACAGCCAGGAGCAATCCCTGCCCGCACACCTCCACAGGATGGAACTGAGGGGTTTGAGCCAGCTGTGGGGGCACTGGCGTGGTGGAGGGCCCAAGGGTATTAGACCCAGAAGAAAATCATTTCCTCACTATGGAACCAAAACACTTCAGGGGCTCAAGCAGGAAAAGGTGGCGCCTAGGCCTCGAGCTTGATCAGAGGACAGGTCTCAGTGACACAGGACAGGCCACCTGCTTTTCAAAGTCCTCCGTACTTAGCAAAAGCCCTGGCTGACATGTGGGGGGGGGGCAGGCATTGCTGAGGAGACCCCAGTGAGTCTATTCCCCCCCCCCAATAACTCCAGCCAAGCCCACCCACCTTGTTCTTCTCTGAGTGGTCGGCGATGGTCTTGAGATGGCCGACGAGGAATTTGAGTGTCTCGTAGTAGTGTCCCGGGAGATCTCGGATCTGGGTGGGTGAGAGGAGGGTAGGGACGAGGCTATGACAGACGCTCGCAGCTTCCAACACGTCTCCACAGGCGTCCCCTGCCACACCTCAGACAGGCTGGAATCTACTGCCCCCTTTCTTTGGTATAGATGGAGAAACTGAGGCCCCAAGTGGAGAATGGCTCCTCCCAGGCCATTGGGGGACTGGCACTGGAACCCAGGGCCTCCTGGCACAGACGTGCTCTTTGCCCTCCCCCCTACGTCTGTCTAACTGCACCTCTTGCTCACCAGCTTCCGCAGCGTCTTCATCCGCTCCCTCGAGTCTTCAATGCGGTTGGCCTCGATGAAGTCGTTGTATTTGTCTAGAACACAGGAAGGGCTCCTTAGCAAGCGAGGCACCCCTCCACACGCCTGGGTGGGCTGAGGATCCCTGCCAGGGGCGCTGCTTGGTGCCCATTTCAGTCTAGTTTGGAGCCCTTGAGCCCCTGAATGTCCATAGGCCAAGCCAGCACACCTGCACAGGTGCACCTGACCTGCAGCCCAGATTGTCCACTGGGGAGGAAGTAAGGGCTGAGCCGCTTGCTGATCTTGGAAGGGGTCCCGTCCCACTCTCCAAGACAAGAAGCCAAGGCTCCACAGGTCAGGACACAGAGGAGAGGCTTTTGGATGCTCTGCCTGCAACCCCCAATGCCCGAAGTTCCCAAAGATGTCCATAGCGAACGTCACAATGAGCCACAATGAGGCTGTTCTGACTTCTATCTGGGGCTGGGTGGAGCTCAGTGGTAGAGCTGTGTGTAGCACACATGAGGCCCTGGTTCCGTCTCCAACACCAAAATACAAAATTTACCCAGATGTGTACATGCACACAGACAGCCAGGATATTTGTTTGCTTGTTTGAGTTAGAGTCTCATTATAGAATCTAAACTGGCCTAGGATTCACAATCCTCCTGCCTCTGCCTCCTGAGTGCTGAGATTACAGGCATGCACCACTCTATCCAGCTCATGTTCAGTTAACTGAAAAGGTAAGAGGAAAATGACAACCAGAATAAATATTTCCAAACACCAACAAAGGGTTCAAATCTACAATATTTGTTCCTACAAATCACTACTGAAAATGATAAGCCAGCAGAAAATGGACATATACTATGCACAAGCAATTGCAGAGGAAATAGAAAAGGCTAATAATAAACCGATACATAAATGTATGCATGGCTATAATCCTAGTAATCTAGGGCTAAGGTAGGAGAATCTCACGTTTAAGGCCAGCCAGGGCTTCAGAGGAATTCTAGGACAGGCTGGGATACAAAGCAAGACCTTATCTAAACAATAATCAGCAGAGGCTGGGAGTGTGGCTCAGTGGTAGGGTGCTTGCCTAGCATGCATGAAGCCGTGGGTTGGATTCCTCAGCACCACATTAAACAGAAAAAGCCAGAAGTGGTGCTGTGGCTCAAGCTCAAGTGATAGAGTACTAGCCTTGAGCAAAAGCAACTCAAGGACAGTGCCCAGGAACTGAGTTCAAGCCTCAGGACTGGCAAAAAAAAAAAGCAAAACAGAAAGAGGAAAGGAAGATAAAAGTGCTTTGGCTCATACCTGTAATCCTAGTTACTCAGGAGGCTGAGATTTGAGGATCACAGTTCAAAGCCAGCCCAGGCAGAAAAGTCCATGGTAACTATATCTATTCAGCAAAAACAGTTTTGGAGGCATGCCTCAGTAGTAAAGTGCTTGCCTGCAAGAAATGGCCCTGAGTTCAAACACCAGAACTACAAACAACAACAAAAAAAATCTAATGCAGCCTGGCACTGCTGGCTCACGCTTGTAATCCTAGCTACATAGGAGGCTAGGATCTGAGGATCATGGTTCAAAGCCAGCCCTGACAGGAAAGTCTATGAGACTCTTTTTTTTTTTGTGGGGTCCGGTCGTGGGCCTGAACTCTGGGCCTGGACGCTGTCCCTCAGCTCTTCAGCTCAAGGCTAGCACTCTACCACTTGAGCCACAGTGCCACTTCTGGCTTTTTTTCTTTTTGCTTATGTGGTGCTGAGGAATCGAACCCAGGGCCTCATGCATGCAAGGCAAGTGCTCTACCACTGAGCCACCTTCCCAGGCCTCTATGAGACTCTTATCTCTAATTAACCACCAGAAAAACCAGAAGTGGTGCTGTGGCTCAAAGTGGTAGAGCGCTAGCCTTGAGCAAAAGAGCTCAGAGACAAAGCCCAGACCCTCAGTTCAAGCCCCATGATTGACAAAAACAAAAATAACTAATGCAGTAAGATTTAATCTCCCTGGTAATAACGGAATTCAATGAAAACAATGATATTCTATTTCCTCTACTGACTAGTAAATGTTTAAAGTATTAATAACAGGGCCAGATGCAATGGATTATGCCTATAATTCTAGCCACTCAGAAGGCTGAGATCTGAGGATTGAGGTTAAAAGCCAGCCTGGGCAGGAAAGTCCATGAGACTCTTTATCTCCAATTAACTACTAAAAAGCCAGAAGTGGGGCTGGCTCAAATAGTAGAACACTACCCTTGAGCAAAAATCTAAGGGACAGGGCTGGGAAGGTGGCTCAGTGGTAGAGCACTTGCCTTGCATGCTCGAGGCCCTGGGTTCGATTCCTTAGCACCACATAAGCAAAAAGAAAAAAGCCGGAAGTGGCACTGTGGCTCAAGTGGTAGAGCGCTAGCCTTGAGCTGAAGAGCTGAGGGACAGCGCCCAGGCCCAGAGTTCAGGCCCCACGAAAAAAAAAAAAAAAAAATCTAAGGGACAGCATCCAGGCCCTGAGTTCAAGCCACAGAATTGGCACACATACATAAAAAGTATCAATCACATGTGTGCCAAACTCCAGGTTTGACCCCAGTGAATTACATCCAATGCCAATAGGGAGGTGGGAGGCATGCTGGCCTGCGAAGGGGTGACCCAGGGCCTCCTCAACATGTAGTCTGACTTTAGCTCTCAAAGATATTCAGCAGTATACTCACTTAGCAGTTCCACACCTCCTAACCCAGGGAGCACAGAGGCAGGCATGCGAGGACACCTCCAGGAGTCACTGACTAAGGCAGGGTTTGGAATAGGGAGAATCTGAAGACAATCTAAGCACCCATCAGGAGAGGAGTGACTAGAGAAATGGCTGTCTCCCCAGACTGCAATCCTACGTGGTGGATTTAAAAGAACAAAGTCAAGCAAGGCGCCAGTGGCTCACGCCTGTAATCCTAGCAACTCAGGAGGCTGAGATCTGAGGATGGCGGTTCAAAGCCAGCCCTGGCAGGAAAGGCCGAGAGACTCTTATCTCCAATAAACCACTCAGAAAATTGGACATGGCACTGTGGCTCAAGTGGTAGAGCGCTAGCCTTGAGCTGAAGAGCTGAGGGACAGCGCCCAGACCCAGAGTTCAACCCCCACAACCAACAACAACAACAAAAGAATAAAGTCAAGCTTTCCACGGGGACATGAATGAATCTCAAGATTACAACCTTGCTTTTGTTAGGAACCAATCCCGGGGTGTGCTGCGGCCTGCTCACACCAGCTCCTAAGAATGTATTATGATTATCTCTTCCCAGTTTCACGTTGATAACTTTTTTTGGGGGGGGAGGAAGGGGTGGTCCTGGGGCTTTAACTCAAGCCCGTGCACTGTCTCTGACCTTTTTTATTCAAGACTAGTGCTGTGCCACTTGAGCCACAGCGCCACTTCAAGCTTTTTTGGTAGGCAATTGGAGTTTCATAGGCTTATTTGCCCAGGATAGCTTTAAACTGTGATCCTCAGATCTCAGCTTCTTGAATAGCTAGGATTACAGGCTTGAGCCACCTGGCTAATGTTAATGACATCTTGTTTAAAATAAGCCACAGTGGGAGTAGTTATACCAGGGAAATTGAAATATGCCACAGATCAAGGGCATTTCCCCTAGACAGCTAGATCTGAAGTATCTAGCAGCACACCATTGAATACAATCGCAAAGCCCATGAAGGCCTGGGTGTCATCCATGCGCACAAGGGCAGGAAGGAAGCAACAACTGTGAACAAGCAACTCAGGACCTGATCAAGAACTGAGCTCTGTAGTAGAATTCTGGCTCTGCCACATAGAGGCTGCGTGACCCCTGGGCGAGTCACTTGACCTCTCTGAGCTTCCTTTTCCTCTTCTTGTGAAGGAGTGGTAACTCCTTCGCGCTGCCTTTAGGGAGCTGTTTTCAGGAGTTGGACCTGGCACGCTGTGAGTGTGCAGGACGCGCCCCTGGGGGATGCCAGCGGGAGAAGGACAATGACCTCTACGTCTCGCTTTACAGCCCAGCACTTCATACAAACGTGTGTGTGGGTTACACAAACAAACCAGGTTTCCTCTCCCTTCCCCTCCCACTTCTGCCTCTCACTCACCATCAGTGAAGAGAGGCTCAGGCAGCTTCCGGAAGAAGGACTTGAGCAGGCTGCTGATCACATTGAGGTCTTGCCAGCGCTGGGGAGAGATAAAAGATGTCAAGCTCCACACGGGACCAGCCAGGGCTGCCCAGGTGCCCAGGCTTCTACATCAGTCCAGAAAACACACACCTGGCCCCAGAAATCTACCCCAACACTCGAAACACCCATTACCTGGTCCCTTCTTTGGACCAGGCCCTGTGGGGAACAGAAATGAGCAGGAGCCACCCACATAAACCTGCCCTCAGCACCTCTGTTGGACCAGCGAGTACCAAGCTCCCCACCCAGTGAGAATCACCCACCTACCCAAAGTCTACGTGTCCACAGCAAGCAGGTGTATGCCTCACTCCTCCTTGTCTCAGGCCCTTTGCACATGCTATTCCCTGTATAGGATTCTACTCCCCCATCCTTCACAGGGCTAGCTCCTCATCTTACCTGACTGCACTGCCCTGTCTGCACCTCGGCCTGGTTTTGTTTCTTCCATGGTGCTTACCCTTGAACTCAGGGCCTGGGCACTGTCCCTGAGCTTCTTTTTGCAAAAGGCTAGCACTCTACCACTTAAGCCACTTCCAGCTTTTTCTGTTTATGTGGTAGGGAGGAATTGAATCCAGGGCTTCATGCATGCTAGGCAAGCACTCTACCACCGAGCCACATTCTCAGCCCTATCCTTTTATTTTCTTATTCAATATTATCACCCATGGGGAGGGGAGCCACTCATATCAATGCATATAACCAGGAATATTGGTAAATTCCCTCCATTAGGAAGACACCCTTCTCCTTTGGATACATAATTATTTTCCCCCAAATGTCAACCATGCCAAGGTAGAGAAACTCTAGTCTAAATAAATGGCTGACCAGAATGAATGAATAGTGGGTCACTACTCATTCTATCCACAAGAGGGCACCATCACCCTGTACCATGGCAAAGTCAGGCCCAACTAACCTGCAGTGAAGTATGGTGAACTCCTGACCAGAAAGCAAATGGAAAATTCTCAACAAAGAGACCCAAGGGACAATGTGCACACTCATCACAATCAAGCTGTAGCTTAATGCCAGACAATTCCCAAACAACAGACTCAACACTGATGTCTAGCAAATGACATCCATCTGTGACTGACAGCAGCCTGGGCCTGCCCAGGCTCAAGCCAGCCCTCCTCCCTCCAGCTCTGGTCACAATTCCCCCTGACTCAGGCCAGGGGAGGCGCTTCCCTGAGTGCTCCCCCTGTGCCCAGCCTGGCTCCTGCCACGTCTTTCCACTCATTCCTACCAGCCCTCAGGGATGGGTCCTTCTACCTCGCAGCTGTTGAACCTAGGATCCCGGCCCAGCCTTCCAGCCTCCTGTCCCCCTCACCCAGCCTTCTGGGTGTCCCTCTTTGGCCCCACACACCCCAGGCCACTCTCTGGCCCACAGAGTCTAGAGCCTGAGGCTGCTGTGACCCCATAAGGGGACTTGTCGATGGGGACACGAGCTGACTCAGCTCCGCTTCAAACTCTTCCTAAGCCACTCTGTTCTTCCCACCTGTCAGAGGCCCATACTCAGCTCCCCAGTCCCCAACCCCAACATCTGCTGTTCCTGCCCCTCCTTCCTCTCTGCAGTCAGCTCCTGGACTAGTTCTCTCCTGCCTGTTGCCCTCCTGATCCTCGGTCTTTTTTACTGGCCACTGGATCAAGGTCAAAGGTTCACCCTCGATACCTCTATGCCCAGAAGAAGCGTCCATTCTGTCCAACCATCCAGTCCTCCTCTGGGCTCTGGGCAAGTCCATCATCCCTTACCTGTACAGCCCCCCTTTGCGTCCTTAGAGGACTCAGCTGCGGTTGCTGCCCTGACTCCCACCCTCACACGTCTCCCTCCCTCTGCTCACACAGGTCTCAGTTCTCTTGTGCATGATAGCTCAGCTGCATGTCTTTCCCTCCCCTCTCCCAACGGCAGGAGGGGCTTCGTGCTGTGTGATCATGGTACTCATGGCTCAGATTTATGGTTTTCTAAAGCATCTTTGTCATCAGAACCCTTGTGGTCATGAAAACCCAAACTGAGCCAGACACTGGTAGCTCACACCTGTAATCCTGGCTATTCAGGAGGCTGCGATCTGAGGATCATGGTTCAAAGCCAGCCCAGGCAGGAAAGGCCATGAGATGCATATCTTCAATTAACTACCTAAAAACTGGAAGTGCACTGTGGCTCAAAGTGGTAGAGTACTAGCCTTGAGCAAAAAAAAAAAAAAAAATCCCAGGGACAGTGCCCAGGCCCTGAGTTCAATCTCCACAACTGACCAAAACAAACAAACAAACAAAAAGGTGACAGGCAGAACAAAGAGGGGGGCTCTTGTGCCAACAAGGATGGAGGTCCTGGTCTGTCCCTGACCTATGTCAGCCTCTCTGAAACCCTAGGATGCTGGGATCAGCATTTGAGAACCCACGGGCCTGCTACAAACTCCTAAGTGTGGTCATCCACTCTCTCCAGACAGGGTTCATCTGCCCACCCCACTCCCCATGACACAAGCCCTCTTCCGCTCATGGGGTGCTCTTCTTCCTCTAAGCCAGGGGATCTGTAAACCCCCATCTGGTTTTATTTGCCCCCTGGGCTAAGTATGGCTTGTACATTGTTAAAAACTACAGTGGAGAAAGGAAGGGAGGGAAGGAGGAAAAGAAGAAGGGAAGGAGGGAGGGAAGAATGAAGGGAGAGAGAGAGGGAGGAAACAGAGCAAACCAAAGCTAAACGTGTTTACTAGCTGGCCCTCTCCCAGAATTCATTCATTCCTGGCGAACATTCTGTTACCAGCCTGTTCCTCTGCCTGGACCTTGAATCTGGCTCCCTCTCGCTGTGGGGAATCCTGCTATCCTAAAGGCTCAGCCAAGACTGCAAGCCTCTGACCTCGGGGCTAGGGCTGAATTTCGGGTGTCCTCAGCCTTGGGAGGCGGCCACCTGAATAGGAAGGGCCCACAGATCATGGAACTGTCCCGACAGGTCCCTCCCACCATCCCTGCCGCACCCACCTCATCCTGCAGGTTGATGTCACCAGGCCCGCGGTTGAGCTGCTCCTGTAGACTGGACACCACTGCATTATTGCCAGGCACCCGGTAAATGCCGGTGGACTCCAGCCCCCGAGCCTCCACAATACGGCAGCAGGCAGCTACGATGAGGGGGACTCGCTGGGGACACAGGGAGATCATGGTCAGGGGGCCACCAGAGCTTGGAGGCCAACATGGGAGTAACACAGGACCCAGAGATGCTGCTGGCAGCTTGAAGGGATAGGAATTCATCATGGAGGGTGGGGTCAGGGAAAGCAGCAGGAAAACACGCACTGCACACTCTGCCTACATCCAGACAGTGGCTCCGTGCCGCCCCCAGAACTGGTGCTGGTACTTCACCACAGACCAAGAAGGAACAGGGCTAGGCTGTGCCCTCCAGAGGACAGACAGCATGGGGCAGGATCTGTACAAGGCACAAGGCTGTCTGCATGTCCCCTGCAGCTTGGCCTCTAGACCTAGGTTTCTCCTGCCCTGCTGCTCTGGAACAAGATGGGAAAGAACTTACCTGGTTCTCTGTGGCAGGCTGACACTCCTCTAGCCGGATCCCAAATGCCCTTGGGGTGACCTTCTTGTTCTTCTTGATGATGTTGATACCCCAGGGAGTTTTAGGGGCAGCAGCAGTGTCATCTGGTATGGAGGAGGCAGAGAGAGCCAGGATGAGCTGGGGGAGCCCAGACGGGGTACCCACACTGTCACATTCACACGAGTTAATACAAAAGGACTCCACCAGCGAAGTATTCAGGGTGCTGGGGGGGGGAATTTTATCTGTTTGCCAGTGCCAGCGTGTGAACTCAAGGCCTCATACTCGCTGGGCTTGCTTGCTCAGCTGGCACTCTACCACTTGAACCACAGCTCCAGCCCAGCATTTTGCAGGTTATTATTAGAAGTGGAGTCTTGTGGACGTTTCTGTCTGGGCTGGCTCTGAATAGTAATCCTCTGTGTCTCCACAGAGTCACAGGCATGAGCCACTGATGCCTGTCTCCAGATTGTTTTTGTGTTTTTTTTTTTTTTTGGTCAGTTGTGGGGCTCGAATTCTGGGCCTGGGTGCCGTCCCTCAGCTCTTTAGCTCAAGGCTAGTGCTCTACCACTTGAGCCACAGCACCACTTCCAGTTTTCTGGTGGTTAATTGGAGATAAGAGTCTCATGGACTTTCCTGCCCGGCCTGGCTTTGAACTGCAATCCTCAGATCTCAGCCTCCTGAGTGGCTAAGATTACAGGTGTGAGCCACTGGTGCCCAGCTCCAGATTGTTTTTGAGATAGAATCTGGTTAACTTTTCCCAGCCCTGGCCTCAACATCCAATCTTCCATGGCTGCCTCCCAGTATCTGGGATTAGGAAGACCTTTCTAAGGATATAAAGATGGACATGGCTATCTGCAGAGTAGGGTGAACCTCCCACCCCAAAGAGACACAGTGTGGACTGGGGGTACACCGGGCTGGGATGTCATGGGGGGGGAATTAGGCTCCAGGTCTTTCCAGCCTGGAAACGCCAAGGCACCTCCCAGGCTCACACGTGTGGATAGGCACCCTAAGAGCGCCCTCAGCACACCTGCACACACCGCCAGCCACCCAGTCTCAGCAGCCACCTTCCTACCCTTGTTCCCTGCAGGCTGCTCCTGAGTCCTGAGGCCACGGGCTGCACTCTGCTTGAGAAACTCAGACTTGAGGCCCCCCAGGCCCCGAGAGCCCTTTGGGGAGGAATCAGCTTTGGGCCCAGAGCTATGGCTGCAAGAAAAAGGAAGAGAGGAGGAGTCTTCAACACGGTGAACCTAGCATGCAAGCCACCCAAGTCTCTACCCCTCACAGCTTCCCTTCCATCCTAAGCAATCCCCCCCCCACCCCACCCCCGCATGACTGTGTGGGGAACTAGAGATGCTCCATGCCCTGCCCCAGGCTGGAGGCGAGCCAGGATGACCAGTATGACCGCTGCTGCCTAGGCCCCCAGAAGCCCCCGCCCCGCTATGGCGGGCTGTTCTGTGAAGGCTAAGCCCCTCACCTCACTTTGCGGTAATCATTAAGCTTCTTGCTGATCAGAGCTTGGTTGGCACAGCCGGGGTCCTGGAGGAGGACAGAAGAGAATAGCTACATGAGTACTCACATCCTGTCCACCATACAGCCTGTCCCTGGTCCCTGCCTCCTCCTTCCCTTTCCTCTCTTCCATTCTCAGGGTCTATGAGCAGCACAGATGCAGCTGTGTGACCCTGGATATGACACTTTGCCTCTCTGAGCCTCAGTCACCTCCGCAATCGATGTAGGGTGGCTAGCAGGGCAATCCCAGGGTTGGGGTGAAGAACTGTGCACACTGCACTTATTGCAATCCTGGTAGACATGAGAGCAGCTACTATGGGTCGTGAAGAGTGACACAGGACCCTCTGGCAAGGCCCTGTTGGGGACAGCATAACCAGGCTTCCAGAGCACCGATTCTAGGTGCTTCTGCCCCTGCAGTAGGGAAAGATGCCATCCTGAGCCGGGCAGGGCCCGGTCAGCCAGAGTTCTCAGAGCGGAGGATGTGGCCCAGGGGCTAAGCGCCTCTGTCCCATGGCCAGAGAGATGCCCACCTGGACCACATCCAGCCTCAACCCCAAGACCCTACCCAACTGTCTGCAGGCGGGCGAGACACATTTGTGCACATGTTGACTGAAGGAGGATGGGAATTCAACCCTTGGTGTGTGGCTCTAGCTCCCAAGAGGGCTACCAACCAATCCCTGCCAAAGCACTTGGCTCTGCCTGCTGCCAGGGCCCAGGCCTCCTGGCCTCCTCCCAAGGTCAGTGCTCACCCCCCTGTGTCTGGGCCGGCCCTGCTGCAGTCTGGACAGGGGCACCTCATTCTAGAACCCGCTCCATTAGAGACTCAGCTCCCTGCTCTGCTGGCCTGAAACTGACCTCTCTATGTCAGGGCCCGCCCCAGGCTGTCCTGACAATAGTAATAATTACCATCGGTACTGTAGTTGTTATTGTTCCTGGCGGCCACTGAACCAACCCAGGACGCCAAGCACTCTGGGAACGACTATTTATGTGCTTTTCCTCACACCTGAACTTAGGTGGAGAGCAGTAAGGTGAAGTCTTGCTAGCCTTTTCTAGAAGGAGTGAGGCTCAGAGAGGCAGCCCTGCCCTGCTCTGCCCCCGTGGCCCAGCTACACTGCAGGCCCAGGCCTCACCTCGCCCTCGGCCCTGCTGTTCTCCCGGATCGCTCTGATCCAGCCCAGCATGTCATCCCGGTCCTCAGCCTGAAAGAGATATTCACAGAAGTCAGCGGTGGTCAGCCGGAACACGTGCCTCCTCTTGGTCTCGCTGTAGGAGATGTCCACCAGGCAGGAGCCGATGCAGACGGGCGCCGCCTCGTCCTCACCTGCGCCGGCCGCCGCAGCCCCCACCGCCGGCCCGGGCTCCCGCCGCTCCTTGCTCAGGGAGAGCGAGCGCGCCCGCAGCGCGGCGTACACCCGCTTCCACTGGCGCAGGCCGCTGCCCGCTTTCTGCAGGGAGACATAGGGTGGGGGAGAGATGGGGTACAGGTGAGCTCTGGGCCTGGCCCCAGGGCCCCAAGCTGAGGAGCCAAGGGCAGCAGGACCTGGATGGCAATGGAGACAGACCCCCCCCAACCTGCCCCATGTCAGGAGGCCCAACCTCCCCAGCCTCACCTCACCAGCCTCGCAGCCCCATCACTCAGCCTCTTCCCAGAGGCCAGCACTGCCACCTAGGCATCTAGCAGGGCCTCTGGAGAGGCATACAAACCCCAGCCGACCTGACCCTTTGAAAATTCAAACTTAAAGCCATTCCTCGTACAAGCCCCACCCCAGATTCACCGCCCTGCGTGGAAAAACTGGTCAGGAGCTGCCCACACTCGGGGAGGGGCTGTCCCAATTCTTTGCCAGTCCCTCATGACTCCACTTAGCACCCGCTGCTTAGAGGCAGCTCTCAGGATCACCTGAGACTACCATGTAGCCACGGCCAGTGTCCATTTCCTGCCTCTCCCTGCTAAGGCCTCTCTGGCATTAGGGGCGCCATATTCCAGATATCTTCTACTGGCTTCTTGGGCTCCCTGCACTGCCCTCTGCCCATGCTCTGATATTCGGTTCTCCACCTAGGAACCTGCCTCTTGGGGACAGTTGTCTAGAGACAGGCGTGGGTAGAGGCTAAGGATGCTGCTGAACACCCACCATGCATGGATGAACCCCACAACCAACAGATCTGAAGGTAAGAAACCTGCCCTTTAAAATGAGGCTCCCAGCCGGGCACCAGTGTCTCACGCCTATAATCCTAGCTACTCAGGAGGCTGAGATCTGAGTATTGGGGTTCAAAGCCAGCCCAGGCAGGAAAGTCCACGTGAGACTCTTATCTCCAATTAACCACCAGAAAACCAAAAGTGGCTCTGTGGCTCAAGTGGTAGAGCGCTCTTCTTGAGCTGAAGAGCTGAGGGACAGCGCCCAGGCCCAGAGTTCAAGAAGCCCCAGGAGTGACCAAATAAAAAAAAAAATAAAAAATGAGGCTCCTGAGCTTTGTCCCGCCTCTCCCCTCCCCTCCCTGCAGGCCTTCCGCTGGGACCTCAGAGCTTTAAACCAGGTGTGTCTGCTGAGGTGAGGGGGTACATGCACAACCCTGGCCACGAGACACCCCAGCCCAGTCCTGAACCTCTCCTGGCCAGCTCTGTGCGTCCACCTGCACATCCCAAAGGCGTTCCACTACAAGGGCCAGGATTCTCACCCCCAAACCTGTTTTCCTTCCCCGCCCCCTTTGGACTCAGTCAATCCACCCAATTGCCCAGAAACCTGGGCGTTGCCCTTGTCTCCTCCCTTTTCCTCGCCCTTGATGTCTAACGCCTCAGGAAGCCACAGCTCCAAGGCTTCCACAGTATCACCTGTCTGTCTCCACCATCTTGCCCACATCACCGTTGGCACAGATCTCAGTTCCCCTCACCTTGTCAGCCCTTTCTCCAGCCTGAAGCTGCGCCATCGTTTCCAAAGGTTAAGGAGAGCATGTCTTTCTCCCTGGGCAGCATCCTCTCATGGAAGCCCACCGCCCTTGAGCCAAATCCAAAGTACTCAGAGGTACAGCCCTGTCCCCTCTCCCAATTCATCTTTTTCCTCCATTGGCAGCTGCCAGGCCTTTGCCAGTGAACTCCCCAAATCTCCCTTTTCTCAGGACCTTTCTTTTTTTTTTGGTCAGTTGTGGGGCTTGAACTCAGGACCTGGGTGCTGTCCCAGAGCCTCTTTGTGCTCAAGGCTAGCATTCTACCTACTTGCCACAACACCACTTTCCGTTTTTGAGTGGTTAATTGGAGATAAGAATCTCCCAGGGACTTTTCTGAACCGTGATCCTCAGATCTCAGCCTCCTGAGTAGCTAGGATTATAGGTGTGAGCCACTGGCACCCAGCTTCTCAGGGCCTTTGTACTGGCTGCTTCTTCTGGGGGAGCAGGACCCAAACTCCCTTCTTACTTCTGTTGCTAGGGATCAAACATAACTTATAGCACATGCCAGGAAGGGTTCTATCACTGAGCAATGCCCCTCGTCCTGGGGTGTTTGAGGCCGTGTCCAGTGTCTTGCTGGCCCTCCTGCCTCTGCCTCTACCTCCCACTTCTTTATGTGGCTGCCTCCTCACCCTTCAGATCTGGGCTCCAAGGTTCTGAACACCTCCCGGATGAGGCCTTCTCTAGCTTTTTTCTGGATCAGTCATAAGGGCCTGGATATTGTCCCTGAACTCTTTTGCTCAAGGCTAGCACTCTATCACTTTGAGCCACAGCACCACTTCTGATTTTCTGGTGGTTAATTGGAGATAAGACTTTCTTGTCCAGGCTGGCTTGGAACCATGATCTTTAGATCTCAGCCTCCTGAGTAGCTAAGGTTACAGGCATGAGCCACCAGCACCCAGCTTCTCTGGCTTATTATTATTATTATCATCATTATTATTATCACTGCTGTACAGGGTTTGAGGTCAGAACTTTTATTTATTTAATATTTTTGGCCAGTCCTGGAGCTTGGAACTCCAGGTCTGGACACAAGCCCTGAGTCTTTTTGCTCAACGCTAATGTTCTACCACTTGATCCCAATTCTAGCTTTTTGTGGTTAACTATAGATAAATTTTATGGACTTGCCTGCCCAGGTGAACTCAGAACTTTTTGTTTGTTAGCAGGTGTTCTACCACTTGAGCCACACCCCTAGCCCTTCTTGCATTTGTGTTTCTTTTGTGCTGGTAGCAGGGTTTAAACTCAAGCTCTGGCTCAGCTTTCATGCTCACAACTGACTCTGCCATTTGAGCCATACATCCAGTCCAGCATTTTGCTGGTGAACAGGAAATGGATTCTCATAGACTTTTTTTTCCTGGGTCTGGCTTCAAACTTCAATTTTCCAGGTCTCAGCCTCTTAAAAGCTAGGATTACAGGTGTGAGCCACCAGTGACTGGCTGCTTTATTAATTTTTGTATAGGGCTCACTTTTTGCCAGAGCTGACCTGGACTACAATCCTCCTGGACTACATTTCCTGTGTAACTGGGGATGACAGACAAGAGCCAGCATACCCAGCCTTTTATTCATTGAATGATGAGCCATGGGTGCCTGGCTTAGTTAGGTCTTGAGAACTTTTTGCCCAGTCTGGCCTCTAACCACCATCCTCCCAATCTCAGCCTCCTGAGTACTGTCGCTAGCCAGGACACTGGTATGAATCACCTTGGCGAGCTCTAGCCGTTCCCCCCCCCCCCCCCGTTAATGGCAGTACCACAAATCTCAGCCTGATTGTGGATTTCTCCAGTAAATGGCTGGCCAGCTATTGAGGGCAAAAGCTCACCTGTCCTCTACCTCCAGAGCCCAAAGCCTCTAGCTAGAGCCCAGCGCAGGGCAGGTGTGCATCAATATTTACTGATTAACTAGGTTGATCTTTGGCATGTATTGAGGGCAGGGGATCCATCTCCCTAAAGACAGGAGACAGGGTGGACACAGTATACACTTGGCCTCCTTTTGGGTTAATCTTGAGCAGTTAAGCAGTGAGCCCTGTTTGCTCTTATAGAACTCCTGGGCTGGGACATAGATGCCCAGAACAGAGACAGCAGCCCTTATAATAGAACAACTGGACTTTTCTGGGGAGACTCCCAGCGAACCCCTCGGGTTAAATTAGCTGGACCGCCCTGGACACATTAGGCCTCTCCCTGGTACTGGGGCTCCCTGCTGGTGAAATGGGAGTTCAACTGCAAGTCTTCCTGGTGGCGCCCGCTCAGTACTGGCTCTTCCTGCAGGGAGGGTGCCCCGTGCACGCTCACATCCAGTGAGTGCTGTCTGACAGAGGCTGAGGACTGGGAGGGGGCAGGGAGGCTGGAGCAGGTGGCATCACCGGACAGACTCCGGATACTCTTCCTCTAACCTGCGGACCTTGGCTCCAAAAGTGCCATTAGTTTGGGCCAGCAAAGTAGACACTCCTTGTGTTCCTCCAGTGAATGCCTTCTTCTCTTTTTTTGGTCTCACCTTCTCATCCCTCACTTCCTCCCAAGGCCCTGGCCTTCTCCCTGTACCCAAGGCCACAGGTACCCACACCTTCCTACGTGCCACACCCTCAGAGCATCCGTCCCTAGGACACCCCTACCATGGAACACCATGGCTTCATGAGGCTCAGAACCCATCAGCCTCTACCTGTCTGTCTCACAGCCCCAGCCAGGAAGCCAAGAAGACAGCACCACCTCCACCTTCCTCAGTCTTTCCCGGTCATCAGCAAGCCCTGGCCACCCTTTGCATAGAAGCTCTCATTCTCTCTCTAGCTGGTCCCCAAGACTTGATCATGCCCTCCTACCCCCACACCTAGACAGGAGTCTTGACACTGTCTCTTCCTGTCACAGACAACACCTGTCTATTGGGTCACACTCTCTCCACTCAGCCTCCCTCGTGCGTCTGTGGACAGGGAGGAGACGGCCTCGCGTGTCCAGGCCATGCGCTGTGGCAGCTGCCAGTGCTCACGTGTCTTCCACATTCTGCCCTGGGCGCTCAAGGCATCCTGGGCCTCAGCATACACGCAGCTCACCTTTCCTTCCCCATGAGGGTGGCTCCCCGAGAAACTTTCTCTTTTCTTTATGCTGGTCCTGAGGCTTGAACTCAGGGTTTGAACACTGTCCCCGGACTTTTTTTGCTCAAGGCTAGTGCTCTACCATTTGGGTCACAGCTCTACTTCTGGCTTGCCCCCCCAACCTCTTTCTTTCTTTCCCTCCCTCCCTTTCTTTTTTGGTGTTTAATTGGAGTTTAGAGTCTCATGGAATTTCCTGCCTGGGCTGGCTTCAAACCAGGATCCTCAGATCTCAGCCTCCTGAGTAGCTAGGATTACAGACGGGTACCACAACAGCCAGCCCAGAACAGCCCTTCCTGTTTCAGACTTCTGGGTACCTGCTTCCCTCACCCCTACCCTTCCCTGCCGAAACCTCTGAACCCCCATCTCCACAATCTGTGCACTTGTCCCTGTTGGGCAACATGTGTTTTCTCTGTGATTGGGAGTGAGGACTGGCTGGCCCCTCCCACTGTGCCCTTACACCTGACAGGAGGCTGAGCAAGGGATCTCAGCATTGCTTGGGTTGAGGGCTAGTCCTACCTGGACTGCGGAACAATATTGTCCCATCTTACAGATCAGAAAAGGGAAGCTTGGGAAGTTAATGAGGTCCCCAGAGCCCTGAGCTTGATGACAAGGCCGGGGCAAGAGCTTCAAAGTGTGTCTCATTAAAACACATGATCAGGGCTGGGAAGGTGGCTCAGTGGTAGAGCGCTTGCCTTGCATGCCTGAGGCCCTGGGTTCGATTCCTCAGCACCACATAAGCAAAAAGAAAAAAGCCGGAAGTGGCGCTGTGGCTCAAGTGGTAGAGCGCTAGCCTTGAGCTGAAGAGCTGAGGGACAGCACCCAGGCCCAGAGTTCAGGCCCACGACCGGACCCAAAAAAAAAAAAAAACACATGCTCAGGGCTGGGAAGCTGGCTCAGTAGTAGAGTGCTTGCCTAGCATTCTTCAGTACCACATAAGCAGAAAAAGCCCGAAGTGTCGCTGTGGCTCAAGTGCTAGCCTTGAGCAAAAGAAGCTCAGGGACAGTGCCCAGGCCCTGAGTTCAAGCCCCAAGACTGGCAAAACAAACAAAAACCCACATGCTCTTCCCAGGTTCCACAAAACCCCCTTGGGACAGTGTGGGAAATTCAGGTCAGACTATTCAGGCTAGCCCCCTGGGTCACCACCTTCCTACATCTGTGTATTCAACCAGCCATGGACCAAAAATAGAGAAAAAGACTATCTGTACTAAACATGGACAGACATTTTCTTGCCATTATCCCATAAACAATACAGTACAATAGCTATTTACTTGGCATTTACATTGTATCAGGCATTGTAAGTCATCTAGGGGGAATTTAAAGGGTATGGGAAAGTAGGCAAAGATCAGATGCAAGTATTGCCCAATTTTACAAAAGGAACTTGAGTACCTGTGGACTTCTGACATCCACAGAGGGGCCTCAGAGACAGTAGTGTGGTGGCAGTAAGGCAGACAGCAGCCACCAAGTCTCAGGGCCTGGGAATTTTTTTTTTTTTTTTTTGGTCAGTCGTGGGGTTTGAACTCTGGGCCTAGGTGCTATCCCTTGAGCTCTTCAGCTCAAGGCAAGCACTCTACTACTTGAGCCACAGCACCACTTCCGGTTTTCTGGTGGTTACTTGGAGATTAGAGTCTCACGGACTTTCCTTCCCAGGCTGGCTCTCTGAATCGTGATCCTCAGATCTTAGTCTCCTGAGTAGCTAGGATTATAGGCATGAGCCACAAGCACCTGGCTCCTGGGAAATCTTTTGCTTTGATATTTTCTCCTGTCTCTTTTTGTTTTTTTTCTTTCCTTCCTTCCTTCCCTGCCTCCCTTCCTCCCTCCTTCCCTCCCTTCCTTCCTTCCTTTCTTTCTCTTTCTGTGCCAGTTCCTGGGGTTTGAACTCAGGGCCTGGATGTTGTCCCTTAGCTTTTTTGCTCAAGGCTAGTGCTCTATCACTTGAGACACAACTCCACTATTTTTTGTGCTTAATTGGACATAAGAGTCTCATGGACTTTACTGTCTTCAAACTGTTATCCTCATATTTCAGCCTCCTGAGTAGCTAGGATTATAGGCATGAGCCACCAGCTAGATCATTTCTTTTAATCCCCAGCAACAGGTTAAGAAACAGAGATTACTGTCAGCCCCACTTACAGACAGGACACTAAGTGACAGTGTTCCTCAGAGCACTATCCCAGACCCTCAGAGCAATATGCCAGGCTATCAAGAGTCAAACCTAGGTTTTCCTGGTAGTTTTGTATGGATGGCCTAAAGGTAGAAGATTGAGGAGGAATGCAGAGGAACTTCAGCTGAGGTTCATGCCCTAGGCCCCATCTTCTCTTAGGGGTCCCGCTTGTCCTCCGTCTGTGTCCTTCCTACCTCCTGTTCCCAGACCTGAGGTTCAGGCTTTTCATCTCTCACCTAGATCTTTGTAGTGAACTCTAACTGGTCTTATTTCTACTATTTTTCTTCCTTTCTTTCTCTCTTCATTTCTTCCCTCCCTCCATCTCTCCATCCCTCCCTCCTTCCTTCCTTCCTCTCTTGCTTGCTTTACTGGGGATAGAACTCTGGAGCTTTCTAGGTAAGTACTCTACCACCTGAGCTATATGCCCAGTCCTTTGGGCTTTACATTGGATCTCTTTTTATCCACTAGCCTAGCTATAATCTTCCTACCTCTACTTTCCAAGTAGCTGGGGTGTCAGGCATGTTCCACCATACCAGGCCTCTGTGGTAGTTTATAACAGGTCTTTAAGTTGTTTTTTGTTTGTTTGTTTGTTTGATCAGTACTGTGGCTTGATCTCGGGACCTGGAGCTGTTCTTTGGCTTGTTTTTTGTTCAGGGCTGACACTCTACTAATTGAGTGACATCTCCAGCCTAGCTTTTTGCTGGCTGATTAGAGATGGACTGTCATGGACTTTACTCCTGAGCTGTCTGCTCAAAGCAGGCAGCTAGGATTACAGGTGTGAGCCCCCAGTGCCTGGCCTAACTGTGCTTTCTAAGCCATCCTCAGGAAGCGATGTGGCTCTGAAAATTCTAACACTCCTCAAAGGACCACCAGGGTTTCAAATGCCCTTAGGACAAGGACCTAGCTGCTGCAGTCCTGAGAAGACTGCCCTCTGATCTCTTCCTCAGCCTCAGCTCCCTGGTGATTGACTTAACCTTTTCTCATGAGCTCCAGTGGCCATTTTCAGAGAGGTTAACTCAAATCACTGTGTGATGGTTTGTCAGGATTCTAAACACCATTTAATCAGACCTACCCACCCCCACAGCAAAGACCACCTCTCTTGTAAACCTTTTTGTGAGTTCTTTAATTCCTCCTTCCCTTGAAGTTCTTCCTAGTCTCTAACCTCTATCCTTCACGCTACAGGCTAAGCAGGTTCTTTGTCACTTCACAGGCTACAGAGTAGGTGTAGGAGTTGCTGGAGAGTTCTGCCAAAGCCAGCTTCCATCGACCCCTACCTCATTCCTGGTCCACCTTACCTTCCCCTTCTTCGTGAGGATCTGCTTATAATATAACCAGCCTTCTCTCCTGATATCGCTGAAGGTCGCATCTGAGAGGTCAGAGGTTGAGTGTCGCTTTGAGGGGGCGTCAGCATCCTCGGAGGTGCCCCAGCTATCCAGAGACTGCAGGGAGACAACAGAGGGCAATTTAGGGTGGCTCCCACAGTACCAGCATCGCAGAAACCCCATGAACCACTGGCAGCCACACGGCCCCCGCCTGTATCTGTGCCACACTCCGATGGGCTATGTGACCTCATGGGTCTTGCTTGTGCTGTGAGTGTCTGGACCATTTGTGTTAAGGTCATAAGACGTAATGGAGAAGCTAGAAAGGAGGAAAGGCCAGCAGAACACAGGCCAATCTGGACCCTCTTTTAACTTTATAGCCTGAAAGGAATTAAGGAAACAGAGGAAGCGGTGGTGTCAACAAGGAGTTAAGTAAATAGGGGAAGCGGGAACAACAACAGAGACTGTGAGTGAAGCAGGTAGCTGTGTGCACAGGAGCGCCACAGAGGAAGCGACAATGTCAACAAGACTCAGCCACTAAAGGGACTCAGCCAGGGAGAGTTAAGTAAGCTGAGGAAGTGATAAACAAGCCAGGTGGCAATATCTTGAATGTGTTAAAACTCAAGATATGGAGGGTTTATATCAACATGGATTTTGCAGTCCATAAATAATCCAAAAGAGGGGTTACGGTTGTGACTCGGTTGAGCACTAGCCAATGAGCAGTAGGTGCCAAGTTCGAGTCCCAGTCTCAGACCTTAAAAAAAAAGAACGGGGGGGGGGGGAGGGATCCAGGCTGGCATTGGTGTTCACACTTCTAAATCCTAGCCACTCAGGGGTCTGAGATCTGAGGATCACAACTGGAAGCCATCCATGGCAGATACATCTATAAGACATTTTTTTTCTAATTAACCAGTAAAAAGCTATAAGTGGAAGCATGGATAATGTGATAGAGCACCAGCAATGAGAGAAAAGGTCGAGCAAAGCGTACAAGGCCTTGAGTTCATGTTCCTAGTACTGACTAGCACCCACACCCACACATACAAAGAACTGTGGGGTATGGAGTGCATACCAGTAATAGACAGCTTGCCTAATTCATGTAAGGTTTTAATGCCATCCCCGGCACCACAAGGAAGAGAGGAGAGAGGGAAAGAGAGAGATAGAGAGAGAGTGTGTGTATTATAGCCATAGACACCCTGATCCTTTCTGATCCTTTGCCCCCACCCAGGTCCTGAGTCTAAATACTTAACCCCCTCTGTCAATCTGAGCCATGTTCCCCCTCCACTCCAGGGCAAACACTACAGTTCCTTCCTGGGCTAGTTGGGTGACAGGCACTAGGGCTCTAGCAGGGAACAAAACAGAGGAAAGCCTATAGTATTTGTCCTTTAGCTGGGGAGCCAGTGAGCAAGCAAAACATACAAAGTAGCAAAAGGAGAAATGAACTGTTGGGTGGAGTTTGAAGTTTCAGAACAGGCCAAAGTGTCCCAAAGAAAATAAAAAGGATGCTGGGTGCTGGTGGCTCATGACTGAGCTCTGAGCTCATGATACTTTTTGTTTTGTTTTTGTCAGTCAAGGGGCTTGAACTCTGGGCCTGGGCACTGTTCCTCAGCTCTTCAGCTCAAGGCTGGCACTCGACCATTTGAGCCACAGCACCACTTCTGGTTTTCTGGTGGTTTACTAGAGATAAAAGGCTGACAGGCTGGGAAGGTGACTCAATGGTAGAGCGCTTGCCTTGCATGCATGAGGCCCTGGGTTTGATTCCTCAGCACCACATAAGCAGGGGAAAAAAAAGCCGGAAGTGAAGCTGTGGCTCAAGTGATAGAGCACTAACCTTGAGCTGAAGAGCTGAGGGACAGTGCCCAGGCCCAGAGTTCAGGCCCCACGACCAGACCCCCCCCCAAAAAAAATCTCACTGACTTTCCTGCCCGGTATGGCTTTGAACCGTCATCCTCAGATCTCAGCCTCCCAAATAGCTAGGATTACAGGCGTGAGCCACTGGTGCCTGGCTCTCATGATTCTTATTTCCAATTAACTACCAAAAAAACAGAAGGAAAGGTATGGCTCAAGTGGCAGAATGCCAGCCTTGAGTGAAGAAGTCCAGTAGTAGTATGAGGCTCTGAGTTCAAGCCCCAGTACTAGCACTGGGACCTCTAGAAAGAGTTTTTCCAGATGAGGTGAAAGACAGGCTCAATGTCCTTAGGTAGGAGGTGCAGTGTGCAGTCCGAGCCCACAAAAGCAAGATGGGTCAGGAGGGTAACACAGAGGCAGGGGGAGGGGTGTGTGTGTGTGTGCAGGGAAGAAAAGAAACACGAGTGCTGGGGTGACCGGAGCCACGGGGCCTGAACTCACTCCCAGCCCTCCCTGCCACCCTCCTGCACATGCGCAGGTGCACCCTTGTTGCTTACCCCATCAGTGAAGAAGCTTCGAAGCATCCGCAAGCTGGGGACGCGGTTTGGCAGGCGCCTGGGGAGCAAGGGCCGAAGGTGAGGGCTGTGGGAAGCACAGTGAGGACCTCACTCTCTTGTCACCCACCCAATGCCAGAGCCAGCCTCAGGAGCAGCTGGCCCAGATGGCAGAGGCCGCCCCACCCCACAGTCACGCAGGGCCTCACCGAAGCACCCGGCCTTCATCCCGGAAAGTGTTGAGTCCGTCGTCGCAGGACTTGGAGCGCTCTGTGGTGATGGCCAGTAGGTAGGAGGAGCGACGGCCAGTCTTGATGCTACCTGCAAAGCCACCCATAGCGGGCCTCAGGGGCTGTGGCACTGGAGGCCCAGGCTGCCCGGAGCCCCCCCATTCTGGGTAGGGCCACGAGGGGATTCTCTCCATAAGTCCCAGAGGAGCAAAAACCAATTGGAAGAAAACAGAAAATGGGTAGTGGGAGGCCCTGCAGAGACCCCCTGGGGAATAGGCAGTTGGGGAGGTATGGGGGGACGAGGGGGTACTCACTGCAGTCCTGTGAGTAATGGCGGCCAAGGGCGAAGGTGAAGGTTGGAGAGGATGGGCTAGTGCCCAGGACAGGGGCTGAGTTCATGGCACTGGAGACCACTGCAGAGGCAGGGACGTGTTTGGCCTGGAGGTCGATGCTGGGGCTGGTGGGTTCATCTGGGAGCAGAGGAGGGGAGGTATAAAGCTGCCAGGAGGCCACCCTCCCTGGCCTGCCCCAACCCTGCCAGCCCTTAGGCCTTGCACCCCTGAGTTCAAAGCACACCCTATAGGCTGGTCAAGCCCTACTGGAAACACACATACACATACTGTCCAGAACAACCCACCCACCAGACTAGCCTCCCCTCACATCGAGGGCATGCCCCCTCACACTGAGGAAAGCCTTCCTCATATGGAGGGACCCCCTCAGGAATGGGGGCTGAGGCCACACTCCTTAAAGTGGACTCTTGAAGTAGAGACAATATTCCTCCATCAGACTGGAAGCTTCCTGAAGGCAGGGACTATTATCTCCTCCACCAGATAGGAAGCACTTTGAGGGTAAAGGTAGTCTCCCCCATCAGCGAGGGACTTCTGTGGGTAGGGGTCACATCTCCCTCTCAGATTGGAAATGTCTGACAACGCCCCAATCTGTGGACTTCTAAAGCAAGCTGTGCCTCCTCAGACTGGAAGCTATAGTCAGTGAACCGCCACACTCGCCAGACTTCTTCCTGACATCTTATGTTGGTCAGATGCAGCTACATTCTCTGGATCTGTTCCCAGCGCAATAATCTAACATCCCCATCCAGACACAGCCCAGGCTGGCCTGTTCCCTCATGGATGGATGCCTCATATCCCATGAGCCCTAGACTTTCTTCTGCCCCTCCTGATTCTCCAATAGTAGAATAACACACTGCTCTCTAATGAGGCCAGAAAGCTGAGAATCACCTCAGCCTCTCTGCCTTCTTGTCTCCTCTTTATTCACCATCCAACCTATGGGCTTCCCTCGCAGCCCTCTCTACTCCTACGGTAAAGTTCAAGGCCCTAGCAACTGGTGGGACACCTTGGACAGAAAGGGCCTTGGGGACTTAGAAGAGCATCTGCCTCTCCCACTACAGTCCATGTTCTCCCTAAACATCTACCCCCCCTAACCTTCTTCTCATCCTCCAACTCTCAGCTAAAATGTAGTTTACTCAAGATTCTCTCCCTGGTTGCCACGCCCAATCTGAACTGCACAGTCCTTCCCTGTCCTCTTGGAACTCCCTGGATCACTCCCACGCCACCAGCCTGTTCTGTCTTACTGATTATCCCTATGGACTGCCCAGTGAGCCTGTCTGACAGAAATCTTTATTGGAAGGATGGAGAGTAGATGGAAAGAACAAAGAGAAAAAACACAAAGGAAGAAGGGAAGAAAGAATGGAAGAATGGAAGACTAAAAGAGTGGTGAATGAATGAATGGAAGGAACAAATGGATAATGAATTAAAGAGGGAAGGAGGAAAGCTGGGCACCAGGTGCTTATGCCTGTAATTCTTTTTTTTTTGGTTGGTCCTGGGACTTAAACTCCGCCTGGGCGCTGTCCCTCAGCTCTTCAGCTTAAAGCTAGTGCTCTACCACTTAAGCCACAGTGCCACTTCCAGTTTTCTGAGTGGTTTATTGGAGGAGTCTCACAGACTTTCCTGCCTGAGCTGGCTTTGAACCACAATCCTCAGATCTCAGCCTCCTGAGTAGCTAGGATTACAGGCGTGAGCCACAGGTGCCCAGCCTTATGCCTGTAATTTTAAATACTCAGGAAATGGGGATCTGAGGATCACAGTTCAAAACCAGCCCAGGCAGAAATGTCTGTGAGACTCCTATCTCCATTGAAATACCAAAAAGGAAGAAAGGAAGAAGGAAGGAAAGAAAGAAAGAAAGAAAGGAAGGAAGGAAGGAAGGAAGGAAGGAAGGAAGGAAAGAAGGAAAGAAGGAAGAAGTAGAGATGTGGCTCAAATGGTAGACTGCTAGCCTTGAGCAAAAGAAGCTCAGGGACAGTATCCAGGCCCTGAGTTTAAGCCCCAGGATCCCAGGACCAGCACACACACACACACACACACACACACACACACACACACACACACACACACACACACACACACACACGAGAAGAAGGGAGGAAAAATGAAGGAGGAATGGCTAGGTGTTAATATGGAAGGAGGAGGGGCTGGGGAGGTGGCTCAGTGGTAGAGCGCTTGCCTTGCATGCATGAGGCCCTGGGTCCGATTCCCCAGCACCACATAAGCAAAACGACAAAAGCTGGAAGTGGTGCTATGGCTCAAGTGGTAGAGTGCTAGCCTAGAGCTGAAGAGCTGAGGGACAACACCCAGGCCCAGAGTTCAGGCACCATGAACGGACCAAAAAAAAAAAAAAAGATGGAAGGAGGAAAGAAAAGTGATGGAAAGATAGCTCAACAGATGAATGAGTGAGAGGTAGGATGGAAGAAATGATGACAGAAGAATGGGTGAGGGCCGGGTGTTGATGGCTCACGCCTGTAATCCCAGCTACTCAGGAGGTTAAGATCTGAGGATCACAGTTCAAAGCCAGCCAGTGCAGGCAAGTCTGTGAGACTCTTATCTCTGATAAACCACCAGAAAACCAGAAGTGGTGCTATGGCTTAAGTGGTAGAGTGCTTGCCTTGAGCTGAAGAGCTGAGGGACAGCGCCCAGGCCCAGAGTTCAGGCCCCACAACAACAACAAAAAAGGGTGGGGGGCAGTGAAGAGTGGATGACAGGCAGATGGATAGAGAAACAAGATGACTCTGTCAGCACGCGGCCCACCGGCTTGTGCATAGTAGGCAGATGAGTGGGGTAACAAGGCACAACCAGTCTCCCAAGAGAGCCATCTGCACCATCACTCACCAATGAAGGGAATGGAAGCCAGGGAGTCTTCCGTATTGGCCAAAGGAGCCACCTTCTTGCCCAGACGTTCCCCTCGCCCAGTGGCCTCTGGCTCTGAAGACTCGTCACTAAATCCCAGGTTCATCTGTCTTGCAGGGGTCAACTGAACCTTGCGGCCCGTAGGCGGTTTCTGCCTCAGGACCACCTCATCGCGGCGGTCCTCGGTAGGGGGATCCGTGGCACGGGTGCTGGCTTCTGGCCTGACGACTCTGGGTGGTTCCGAGGCCTCTGGTGGGAATGGTGCAGGAGACTGGGCCAAATTGAAGGTGGGTAGACCCCCAAAGGGTGAGTCCCGGAAAGAGAGTGCGTGCAGGAGGCCAGTCCGTCGCTGGAATGATGGGCTGTAGCTCCGGTACCCGATGTAACCAATGTCATCCAAACCCTGTAGGCCGCTTGGGGGTGGGGCCTGGGATCCAGGCAGGTCCCGAGGTGGGCAGGCAGAGGTGCGTGCTGAGGGACGCTGGGAAGCCCAGCCACAGCGCTCAAGGCGAGGTGACACCAGTGCTCCTGGCCCCAGTGCTTCGGCAGAGCGGGTTGCCCGGCTCAAGTAATCATCCGAGCGAGCTCGGTGCCAGCCCTCCTGACCCAGCTGGCTCAAGGCGTCCTGGGAGGTGGAGCAGGGCCATGGGCGGTGGGCAGTCACATCCTCTAGCCGGTCCTGGGAGGCACTGCGGGCCCGGGGTGGCATGGCTGGGCACCGTCTTTCCCCCAACCTGCGGGGTACCTGGTTGGACAGCCAGTGTGACAATGCCTGCTGGCACTCCAGTCTGCTAGGGAGCACCCGGTTGCCAGGCTCTGGGAAGGCACGGGGGGTCCGCGGCTCAGAGGAGAGGTGGGGGAAGGCACCAGGGCTGGGGCGGGAGTGGCTCATCCCCAAGGAAGAGTTGTCCAGATGGGCACGGGTGGCAGGTAGGACACGGGGTCCTGGGTCACTCCAGATAGCAGGACTCCGAGGATCACTGGGCAGAGCTGAGATGGGCTCAGGCACCATAGTGGCCCAGGCGGAGACCCGGGCTGGTGGGGCGTAGGTCTTCCGGGGATAGCAGAGTGGGGGCGGCTCTGGGATGCTGTGTGCCTCTCCAGAATATGGCTCGTTCCCCTTCAGGTAGGCATCCTGGGAGTAAGCCTGGCCGGAGACACAGAGATAGGTGAGCAGAGCCCAATAGGAACCATGGGAACAAAGCTAACAACACCCCTAGGACTAAGCGAGGGTATCCTCAGCAGTTGAGAGTGGCAGTATGGGCTCCAAAAAGTCCAGGGGAAGACAAAGAAGAGGCTTCACATACCCACACACACTCTCAAGAGCCAGGATTGCTGGAAGACTTAGGGTGGCTGGAGGGTGGCTTTTTGCCACAAATATTTTAACATGTTTTCTGGGGTCCTCCCCTAATCCTGGCCTTTGCTGTGTCCCTGTTCCCTCAAGTCCAGAGATGCCCACAGGCCCTGAGTGGAGCTAGAAAACTCCAGCAGAGCCCAGTCTAGGTGGCAGATGACAGGGAAGAAAGGCGGCCGAGGGGCGTGTCCAGGGTGGGGTGGGGTGGGCTGGGAGTGGGCAGAGGCTGGGAGAGGGAGGCTGGGATAGGGAGCTGTAGATCGGCTTCTGAATGGAGGGGTGAGGAGGAAGTGCCCAGCCCGGGATCTCTAGAGGCCAACTTGGAGGAGGGGCAAGACTGGCTGAGGGGCCTTGGGCCACCTTCTGCCACCCGTAGGCCTGGAATTTGGCACTGGCTGCCGAGGCTGACGCTGCATTGCTGAGGAGTGACAGGGCCTGTGTCAAGCCCAGCCAAAAAAGGAGGCAGCCCCTAGGGACAGAAGCCTGTGGCCCTGGCCCAGCTGGGCCCTGGATGAGCTACAGGGCGGGGAGGAGAGGGGGGACACTGTTTCAGGGTGAAGTATCAAAGGGCGGAGGAAGGGGTAACCCAAACATACACATACACCACACCACTGGAGACACCGGAAGATACGCACCCGACCGAGACACACACACACACACACACACAATGAGACACAAATAACTACTCCTCCAGTCCCAGGCGCAAACATCATGTGATGAGTTAACCACACCCCCATACCCAGCCCCTCCAGCACAGTGGCACAGGGGCACACGGCCGGCCCGGCCGACCAGCCCGGACACACATACCTCTCCCTCCTGCCATCCTGCTGGCTCCCGGAGCTCCCTGAATCACGGTGGTGGTGGCAGCATCCCGCCCACCTCCAAGCTGCCACCCTAGTCAGCAGCTGCCCCCCCTCCCAGTCAAGGCTTGCCCCTCCCACGGCCTCTGCCCTGGCCGGCCTGGGGTCCCTCTCGCTGTCCTCCCTGCGACTCCCCCTCGCCCCCTCTCTAGGCTGGCTGGCTGGCTGTCGGGAGGAGGAGGGAGGTTGGGTGTGGAGAGGCCTCGCCGCGTCGGTGGTGGCGTCAGCAGCTACTGCCACCTGATTGGCCTCCAGCTTTGGCTCCCAACCACAGGAATGCCTGGGCCCCACCCTCTGGCTGCTCAGAGATGGGGGGTGGAGGGTTATAGAGGCCCCCAGATGCTGACATCTGGGGCTGCTGGTCCACTCCTGCTGGGCAGCAGAGCTCAAAGGGGCTGCCTTCTAGTCCCTATCAGCTGGAAAGAGCAGGGGGCATGAGGGGGAGGGGCTGGGGCTGCCCTGGGCCGGCCCCACCCTGTCTCCCTCTCAAAGCTGGTCTCTCTGCAGGGGAGGTATACAGGCTGGGCCAGTGAGGCTTGAGATGAGCCACCTACTTCTCTAAACCCCCCTTTTTCCCTCCATGTCTCCAGGAAGAGCAAGGGGACAACTGAGGTTGGGGATGGAGGTTCCCAGAGGGGCATTGTTCCAAGTGTGGCCCACGATTCCAGTGATTAGGAGAGAACATCCAGGGCCTAAGCCAACACAGCAGCTCCCAGGGCCTCTGGGGCTTGGCCCTCAGCCGTCCCTGGCCGGACAGTGACCTCAGGGCCAAGCAAGCTAACATCTGGCGGGGGGCCATGAGGCCAGGGACATGGGTACTGAGTAGGGAAGACTGGTCCTAAGCTCTGGCACAGGGCTGTGGGTGTGCCTCAGACACCCTCTGTGGGTCGTGCTCTTGATCTGCACACTTCATGGTCTATCTGAGTGAGCTGGGGGCGGTGCAGGTTGTCTATCACCGCTGTATAAACCAGATCCTGTGACCCTGCTGAGCACAGGTGCCTGAGCTGGGCTGGAGCACGCTCCCGTGTGGAGGGCACACCAGTGGATATTTGTGTCCCAGTGCCATGGAGTTGAAATCTACGCATTGTGACAGATTTTGGTGTGGGCACTGGGGTAAATGTTGCTGCTGGTGAGCAAGCTATACAGTCTTGCTGTTTGAGGGCAGAGGTTGGGTAGTGTGCAGTGGTATTTTGAGGAGGGACTTTGGTGGTACTTAGGTTTATGGCTTAGGTATGGTGTGGTGCATATGTTATGGCACACTGTACCATATGGTGTACCGTATGAAGGGGTTTTATGGGTTGTATATCTGGTGTTTTGCTGAGTGGTCCCCACAGCAGTGGGGTACAGGAGGGCACATGGCGGGCGGGCGGACGGGGGAGAGCATATTTGTTGTGCATGCAGGTCTACCCCTGCGGAGACACTCATTGAGGTCAAGGATGAATTGGGGTGGGGGCACAGGAAACAGACACCTTTCACAGAAGCAACAAGAACATGCCAGTCTGGCAGGGCCCGCTGGGCCACTCTACTTCCAGATATCCTGGCAGGAATCCTGCCTGCCAAAGCACAGAGCGCAGAGTTGCCCTGAATGAAGCAACCAGCAGCCCCAGCCCAGGGATGGGTCTGGCAGCCCAAGTTGGGCAATACCAATCTGTGTTTCCTTCTCTGTATTCTACAAAGGCCAATGGAGGAGAGAAGGGCTTCTTCTGCCCCTGGGTTCAGTGGCTGAACTCACCAGCTGAAGGATGTCCTCGTCCTTGGGCATGATGGAGAGCTCCAGGGTGTCATCACTGCAGACACAGGGAGAAGGTCAAGCCAGGCTGAGGAGACCAGAGATCCTGGTACAGGACCCCAGGACCAAGGGTATGAGGTGGGCTGGGAGCTCCTGGAGGAGGAGGGAGGCAGAGGGAGCTCACCTGTTCTGGATCAGAGCTATGACCTGGGAGTAGGTTTTCCCAACGACACTCTCCCCGTTTACTTTCACCAGCCGGTCTCCTGAGGACAAATGGCAGGGCCGACATGTGAGCGGCCAAGGCGTGTCTATGGCCCCTATAGGAATCCCTATGCCAAGTAGGAATGACACCAGAATTCAAGAATTCCATCCTGGGCTGGGAAGGTGGCTCAGTGGTAGAGTGCTTGCCTTGCATGCCTGAGGCCTTGGGTTCGATTCCTCAGCACCACATAAACAGAAAAAGCTGGAAGGGGTGCTGTGGCTCAAGTGGTAGAGGGCTAGCCTTGAGCTGAAGAGCTGAAGGACAGCATCCAAGCCCAGAGTTCAGGCCCCATGACTGATTTAAAAAAAAAAAAAAAAAAAAAAGCCGGGCGCTGGTGGCTCACGCCTGTAATCCTAGCTACTCAGGAGGCTGAGATCTGAGGATCGCGGTTCAAAGCCAGCCCGGGCAGGAGAGACCGTGAGACTCCTATCTCCAATAAACCACTAGAAAACCGGAAGTGGCGCTGTAGCTCAAGTGGTAGAGCGCTTGCCTTGAGCTGAAGAACTGAGGGACAGTACTCAGGCCCAGAGTTCAAGCCCCATGGCTGACCAAAAAAAAAAAAAAGAATTCCATCCTAGCTGTATGCTAGTGGCTCACACCTGTAATCCTAGCTACTCAGGAGGCTGAGATCTGAGGATCAAGGTTCAAAGTCAGCCCAGGCAGGAAAGTCTGTGAGATTCTTTTCTCCAATTAACCACCAGAAAACTGGAAGTAGAGCTACGGCACAAAGTGGTAGAACACTAGCCTTGAGTGAAAGAGCTCAAGGACAGCATCCAGGCCCCGAGTTCAAGTCCCCCAACTGACAAAAATAAAAATAGCTTCATCTCATCTTGAAGGTAGGGATCAGAGTCCTGAGGGTAGTGTATGGGTGTGTGTGTGTGTGTGTGTGTGTGTGTGTGTGCAATAAACAAGGTAACTGAGACAACTCACCTGTTCGAAGCCCAGCCCTGTGGGCAGGGCCATCATCCTTCACATTCTTGACAAAGATGGTATCCATGGGCTCCAGGCGGTGCCGGGGGGAGGGTCCTGGTGGTCATCAGCCAGGTTAGCTGGGGTAACTGCTGCTAAAGGTCAGCCACACCCATCAACCCAGCTACACACACATACTACACACCACACACACACACACACACGGTACATGCAGGATTATCACACTATCAAAGACACAAGCATACACAGAGCCACACATCCATACTGGGACACTGGGAACAGATTCACAGAGCCAGACAAGAGGTCATACCTGAGAGAAAGACTACTTTCCTGGACACAGAAAGAGCTGCTATGTAAATAACTGTGCCAGTAACCAGACTGAATAGGGCATGTATATTCAGTTCCTTCCCTCACTGTCTACTGGGGAGACAGAGTCACAAACACTAGTCACAAAACCAAGAGGCCATATCAAGGCCTGAAGATACCTGGCAGGGGAGACACAGGCATCCAAAGAAATGTCCGCAGCACAGACCCAGAGGCATCCGACACTCACAACCCCACATGCTCCCTTCTCCAAGGTCCAGGGTGGGGGAAGGGCTTCACAAACAGTCCTGAGCACCCTGGGTGGGGCATGAATCCCATTATACCCCAACAATAACTCTCTGTCCTCAAAGTAAGCCTGTTCTAGGGCAGCCGTCTCCCTACCTACAACACAGCCTGTGGTACTGGGACTCAAGACGTCAGGTCCAAGAAGGCTGCCCACTTAGGAGTTCTCACTCAAGTTCCCTAGCAGGCCCGTGGAACAGCAGAGCTGACAGCGAGGGGAGTTAGGTTTGCATCTTAAGAAAGACCTCAGGACCCACCTACTTCGATCAGGGCCCACTGTCTATCCATCAGGAGAACCTTTCCTCAGAGCATCCCACCACTGTTCCCCAAGCCCTGCAGCCTTGGCTTGGGCAGAGAGAACCTGGAGGGAGGCCTGGGACCACAAGTGTCAAAGAGATACTCATTTGTGAAAGGGACAGAGCCTTCAAGGAGATAAACATGAGGACAGAAAGGGAGGAGGAAATGCCCAGAGGGAGCCAGATCAGGAGGCAGAGAGAAGAAAGCAGGAGTAGAAAGTGGGGCTGAGTAGAGAACTGGAGAGAAACAAGCCAGGGTGAGTGCAGCCACCACCATGACCACCCTAGCCCCTGGAACCTGCCTGCTCCAACCACCCTTACCTCCTCCGGGGCCTCTGGCTCGGCCTCCATTCTCTTCCTCCTGCAAGGAACAGAGAGGTACTCAGTGGCAAAGCACTTGCCTAGCAAGCGCAACGTCCTGGGTTCGATCCCCAGTACCAAAAAAAGAAAAGACAAAAAAAAAAAAAAAAAAGGAACAGAGAGGTAGGTGTGGCCCCAGGTCCTGCCCTCAGCAGCATCTACAGCTTTGGGGAGGGCCAAAGGGCCAGCTCCAACTCCACTGAGGGCTGGGAGGCCCCTCCAAGCTCCCAACACCCCTTATCTCCTTTCAACTGGCTGGCAGGGAGTGGCAGGGCTATCAGCTGGAACACGGAATCCCAGACCATATTCCCCACCAACTTGTGCTCCCCCCTACCCCTCACACATGCCAATTCCACCAGCTTAGCATCCTAGCCATCTGGGAACCCCCAACCCACCAGGGACCCACCCCTCCTTCCCTTGGGAAGCTCCTAGGAAAAGGGGAACATTCCACATCCTCCTCACACACAGAAGGCTAAGGCCAACACAGATAAGCAGCCTGACAAGTGCAAGTAGTGCTATCTCAGAAGAAGGGGACAGGAAGAGCTGATTAGCAGTCCTCCGGGGGAGGAGACTGTAGGGCATGTTTGAAAGTGGCTGGAGCAGGCACTCTGGGGGAGGGGAAGGGGTGTCAGCTGCTCCACGCAGGAAAAAGCAAGCACATGTAGGGCTGGGATCTGCTGAGCTGAAGCAGAAGGTCAATACCAACAAATGGCAGAGGTCAGGTTTGGAAAGAAAGAAGAGGGAGCCAGGAAAGAGGGGTCAGGATCCTAGTAGCTAGGTTCAGAGAGTCACAAGACCTCCTAGGAAGCTCAGGAGACCACTCTGCTGAGGTGGAGGGCACTGGCTTTAGGGAGCAACTAGAAGGAGGTCAGAGACAGGCTAAGCCAGCAGGACATGGCATTTCAGAGCTGGACCACCTTCGGTATCATCTTGTCCAACCCTCTCTTTTTTGTTTGTTTGTTTGTTTGTTTGTTTTGGCCGGTCATGGGGCCTGAACTCTGGGCCTGGGCACTGTCCCTCAGCTCTTTAGCTCAAGGCTAGTGCTCTAGCACTCGAGTCATAGCACCATTTCTGGCTTTTTCTGCTTAAGTGGTGCTGAGGAATCGAACCCAGGGCCTCATGCATGCAAGTAAAGCGCTCTACCACTGAGCCACCTTCCCAGCCCTTGTCCAACCCTCTCCATAGGCGCTTCCATTTTACAGAGGACAGGCATGCCTTGTCCAAGACTCAGCAGTAGAACCAAAGGCTGGATCCTGGGATTTACTGGCAACCTAGTCAGGCCAGAGTGGAGCTCTGTTGGATGCTGCTGGAACCCAGGCCCTCTCCTGTGTGCGGTGTGTGCCCACTGATGTAAGCTGACAGCAGGGAGAGCGGGTGGCAGAGGCAGACAGATGCATTAGGACGGCTCAGTTCCCTGCAGGCTCCAAGGCTGCAAAACTGGGCCTCCTCCTGCCTCTAGGCCAAGAGCCCCTCCCAATCCTGGGCAGGTTTTGGAAACTGAATGGAACCACTCCTGACTTGCCCTGCCCCAGACTCTGCCAGTGCCACATTGGAGAGAGAGCTGCTTTGGCAACTGTCTCCCTCAGCAGGGTCCCCTGAGAGAAGATGGCAGGGGTCCGGGAGGAGGGGCGTTCTGGGGAAGGAGAGGAGGAAAGACTGGGTTGCAGGGAACTCAGGGGATGACATCCTGGGGCTTTTCGAGGTAGACAGTGCTACAGGCCATCAGCCCCCACTTCGGTTCCAGGCACAGCTGCAGCCAATGACAATAGTTATGCAGGTGCCCCTGATTCAGACATGTGTAAGAGATGCAGTGACATGTGCACATTACCTAAATTAAGCGTATCTTTATGTATACATAATATAGATACACGTGTACATGTCCAAGCCCAGCATAATTGCATACAGGTGTGCACTGAGACATGCAAGCAGCACACAAATACAGTGACATGTGACATCTAGGTCCTCTGGCAGGGTGGGACCAAGGTCCCTAGGGTTAGCATCCCAGTCCTGGAGGAAGGAAAGAGGGGCTTTGCTGACTCCAATATAAATCTCTTTCTGTAGGAAGAGATGTGGAGGAGAGGCCCTTGTAGGGAGCCCTGGTTGTTGCCAGGCACCCATACTCCTCTTCCCTTGGGGACCCCTACCCCCCAGCCTACAACTTGGATTGAGCTGAGGAACCCTGGTTCCCTGACTTTGGAGAACTTGATGTTTATATTAGGGCTTAAAATGTTCTTAGAGATCGAAGCAAAAACTGCCCTCAAGCTACAGCAGAAAAGGATCCGGAGAAGGATGGAATGGTCCCCAGTCCCCAGGGAGTTAGCTGTGGTACCAAGACGACAGCCCAGGGCTCTTCTGTCCTATTCTGGAGCTCTTTCCAGGCCACAGAACTGTGGCAGGCGGAATAAACACGGGGCACTCTGGGAGCGTGTCAAATGCCCTGATCTCTCAGGCTAGGGATAGGTAGGGCAGACCCAGCTCACAAGCATCCAGTGGACAAGGAGTCCCAGGAACTCCACCTTTCTTTTCCAAGACAATGTTCCCTTTTCAGAGACCAAATGTTATGGTAGGGACATCCTGACTCCCCACCTTTGGATCCACTACTCTCAGCCAGCCACCACTTTGCTCCTCCAGAATAGTAAGGGGGTCTCATTGCACCCATGTTCCAGCCCCTCCCGCTCACTTCCCTGAAGCCTTCTTCTTTGACTTCAGCAGAAGTCAGGCAGGACCCCAGGAAGGGCTGCTTCTCTGGGAAGGTTCTAGGAAAAAGGAGTCACACACCCCCTCTCTCCTCCCCCATCAAGCTTCCCCCACTAACTGGAGCTGGTAGGTGAGCTGGGCGTACCTTCAGGCTGCAGTGCACAGCTGACTCGGGAGGGTACACGATGAAGTGGCGCAGGGTGAAGCCAAAGCCATCCTGGAGACTTTTGCGCAGCAGCAGTGTCCTCGGCCCCTGCCAGGGGAGGGGCCGCCCAGGAGGGAAGCCATCTCTTGGGCCCAGTGGCAGCTGCAGAGTACAGGGAGATAGGATAAGTGCTATGTGACCATCACAGTTCCGGCCACCTAGGACCTGAAAGGAATCACCAGGCTTCCCTGGCTCCAGGAAGCCAGGTACCCTAATCTGCCCTGGACCTCCAATTCCTACCACCCTACCCTTATCAGCCCAGCAGATTATTCCTTCCTTGTTTTCCTTTCAGATCCGTCCTGGTTCCTTTGCATAGCTTGCTGCAAACCAGGCATTCATTCAACATTCACTGTACACCTACTATGTGCTGGGCAGAGAGAGTGCTGCAGGTTAAGCACATCCATAGACAAACAGAGACATGTACACACACACACACACACACACACACAAATGGAACATGCCGCAGACAGGCACACATACAAACATGCACATGGACAGAACCACAGACGCACATATGGATGAGCACACACACACACTTATGCAGACAGACATATTGACATAGCGCACAGTTGCACATACTCAGGCTTGCATCCACAAGTGCGTACACACACATCTGTGTGCAGACATGAACACACATCCTTCTGGAACAGCAGCAGGAACACACCAGGGACTAAGAACCATGAAGGAGTAGAGTAGACATCAGATAAGTGAAAGGACCTGCCTAGGTCCCAGAGCCCAGCCCAGCCCAGAGGCCTAAATGGTTCACCAGAAAAGGGAGGGTGGGAGACCTTCAGCCCTCTATCCCACCTGCCTGCAGGAAAGAATACTTGAGATTTCCCTAGATGACTCAGCTGTGAGTATCTGAAAACAGGGTTAAGGGGGCCACACAGGACTGTTTCAGGGGTCAGGGGGCAAAATAAAACAATTGGTGCCTAGGAGAAGTCTGCCTTCCAGTCTTCTTGGACACAAGAATGGCAGGTGACAGAAAAGTGTGAGAGAGGCTATACGGAGGGCCTGGAAGGAGAAGATAGGAGTGAGGGAAAGCAATTAGTTGGGGGAGGGCAGGAGGCTTCTCTAGGGTGCTGGGGGGAAAGAGAGGTGGCCACAGGAAAAGCTGGGAGGCCTCCTTCTCTCAAGGACTCTTCAAGCCTTCCAACCCCTCCAGGGGCAGCCTGAGCAGAGTAATGCCTCTGATCCAAACCTTCAAGGGGCAGACACTGTCTACCTTCATAGGCCACCATGCCTGGCTCCTCAGCTCAGCTAAGCCTGCAGCTGTAGAGACATGTACAGAGGGCTGGGGACTAGCGAGGAGAAGCCCACCAGATTTGGGCTGAGCTCTCACATCAATCTAAATTATTCTAGTGGCTGGAGGAAACTGGAAGATTCCTGCACTCTAATGCCTTGATGCTGAGAAGCCCATGTCCAGCATAGTCCACCCTGAAAACCCAGCCAGCCAGGGAGGGCTGCGCGGTGCACATGTGCAGACCTCTGCTAGGGCTAGAAGGCTGAGCTGCAATGGAACAGGCTTAGCGAGGATCCACCCCCAAATCCCAGAAGATGAAAGAAAAAATGGGACAGAGGGAACGGGCTGGCTGGTTAAAAGCCCCAGAAGACAGAGGCGGGGGAAAGACACCAGGAGGCTGAGAGAAGCTCCAAGCAAGAGAGACCTCGTCATACACAATGTGGAAAAAACAACAACAACCCCAGCAGTGAGGTTGGAATCTCCCATCCCTAGAAGAGTCCAAAACTGGACCACTCTCAGTCTGGGAAGCCTTGGCAGGGATTCCAGCATCAGGACTGAGATCGAGTGATATTCCTCTGCTCTTCCCACTTACAGCTACAGCATGGACTCTTCCACTGAGTCCCACAGCCCATGAGGGTCCAGAGAGCCCAGAGGACATTCCGTGGAAATTCTGCTGAGGTCTGACATCCCCTGGATTTCCTATCTCTGCTGACCTGGCAAGGAACTGATCAGGAAGAAAGGAGGACTTAGGGCGGGTCCCCTCGCACCCAGAGCACACTGGCCTTTCTGCAGAAGTTCCTGCTCCTGCTTAGTGTGGGCTGCCTCCCCTGCTCCACCCCATGTCCCCACTCATACACACCAGGGCTCTGAGCTGAGGCCGTTTGCAGGGCTCATTGTTTTGGTGTCCTGGATTAAGGTTTAAGCCACCAGCTGCCCCAGTGATGAGAAGTGGCTGGGACAGGTCCCCGCACGCCCCCTGCCCCTCCCCCTGCACACATCCTGACTGGAGCTGCCAGCTGTCTAGGGGGTGCCACTCCCTGGGGAGACCTGCCTATAATCCGGGACAGTGGGCCTGCCTTCCTCCAGGAGGTCCATCCCCTCCTAGCTCTACTGGTGGCCCCTGCCTTATCTCTGCTTCTTCCCTTCATTTGTTCCTTCCTCCAGGCTCTCTTCTCTCACCCCTTCCAACTAGGCTCCCGAGAACCTCGGCAATGCCCTGCCACAGCTACCACACTTGTACCTGAAGAGGAGACACCACAGACCCAGATCCAGATGGTTCCACTCCCTCTGTGGGAAGTTCTTTCTCTGCCTTAACCTCAGTCCTTCATGCTGTTCAGTAGGTTTCCTCTCCTCCCCTCTGACCTGGTACAACCCTGAGTCTTAGTCTTCTCTTGAGGGAAAGGGAGGTGACAGTCACAAAAACAAGAAAACAGAAAAGTGATTAGACTGGGAAGAGGTACTGCCCACCTCTCTCCAGCTCTGCTTCTCTCTGATATAAGAAAAAAGACAGGGGAAGGGCAGGGGGACTAGGGACATTACTAATTAAACTTTCCTGGGCTAGAACTAATTGCAAACACTTTCATCCTCAGGTCAGGAAAGAGAAGAGACAGCCAGAAGCACCAACTGGTATGAGAGAAGAACAGAAGGCCCCAGGTAGGCAGAAGTGGTTATAGAGCCTGTTGGTGATACCAGAAACTAGAACCCAGGAGGCCTACTCCCCTGCTCCCCCCCCCTCCGGAGCATAAAGAGGTCATTACAGAGAGTACAACATTCAGGCTGGGCATGGAGCCCGGTGACTCATGCCTACCAGCCTGGTAGATCCCGGACATCAGAGCTAGCCCTGGGGCTCCCGAGATCACTCACTACCTTTTGGGGCCCATTTTGTCATAGCCTCCTTTGCCCACAAAGCCCTTGTGGGCCCCTAAATCCGGGTCCTATCAGAGAGAGGGTGCGGTGGTACCTACTGCTCAGGTTAATGGTACCGGTGCCCAGCTCTGGCTCCAGCCCCTGCCAGTCTACACACTCCAGGAACCCCTAGATCAGGTCCCTTCCATCCTTCCACACCAAGAGGGTTGAGCCCAAAGGAAAGCCACCACACCCAGAGTTGGGTGTGGGGGCTATTCTCCAGCACCCCGAGGAAAGTGTCACGCCACCAACTCTGCCACGCTCACACCCATCCAGCCTCCTGGCGCACTACCCACGCCAGGACATCAGCCCTGCAGGGCACGGTGCGCACAGCTGTAAAGTCTCAGGGAGTTGGCTGGGCGTCCCCAACCCCCGCCAGCCCCTCTCCCCCCCCCCC